AAGAGAGGGTTTGTTGGAAAAGTTCCGGTAGCACGCCGTAGGGTCTCCCCGGGTTGGGGGGGGGGGGGGGGTTGATAGTACAGACCACGAGTCACTCTTAGACGAGTCGTCAGCGGAGAAGGAGGACTCGGTTGAGGACCAAAGCTCCGAGCCGGGGGAAGACTTCGAGGAGGAGAAGTCTGCGGACAGGGAGGGAACATCCGTGTTGCAAGTCCCCACAAAAAGCGTTTTTTTTTGTAATTTCGACAAGGTATCGATCACGCGGAGCCCCTACAGCGACCAGATTCCTGTGGGACAGGCCGTTTTTCGTCAACAACTCCGGCTGTAGTGGCGATCCAAAATGTTGGCAACCTTCTAAAGCAACCCTGGGCATATCTCTACAGCGTGGTGCCGTCAAAAAGTTGGACTGGGTCGTTTTTAGAAGGTGTACAGAGCGTTGAAGGTCAAATTTCGGGGGAACTTGGCTGAGAATTCAAACAAAATTGGAGGTAGACATGTGGGTGGTGTTTGGTCGATGTATAAAAGGCGATAGAGTGGGCTAGAGTGCTTCACTGGAACGACCCTCGTAGTGGCGATCCCAAATTGCGCCAACCCCTCAATGCTACCTATGCCTATGTAATCCACTCTGGCGAAGCCTCGAGCGAGTTCGTCAACTCCTTCGTAGGTGCATAGCAGCGTGAAGTTTGATGCTGACAGCTGTGGAACGGGCTTGATGCAACAGCCCCAGCCCTGTCACTTTTGATCGCACGGTATTTGCCGGGTTTAGAGCGAAACCAGGGCAAACCAAATGTCTGCGCGTGTAGAACACAACATGTTTGAGGTATCCTGCAGGTTTCATGGCACGTAGCCATAGGTGTGCACCAGATGTGGGCTCAAGCGGACTGCCATCGATTTTTGCGGAGCCCCTTTGTCACATTTTTTTTGCTTTTTCGTGTGACTTACAACCGGGGTGAGAAAGGAGGAAGAAGAGGAGGGGGGGGTTGTCCCCTGCACTGTACTTGAAGACTTGAAAACCAACCAGAAGTGATCATACGAAGTAGCAACCTCTTTACACACCATTAATTTCTCAAACTTATCAAACAACCACTACTTGAGAAATAATAACTTGGTGACAAGGTCCTTTGTGCACGTGTGCGTGCCATAAACACCAGTACACACAAGCACAAGCAATGGAGAGGGAGAAAGCCAACAAAGCCTATACAAAATGTACCACGAAAAAAATGTTTTTTCGCACCCCTCCCGGGGGGTCGGGTAGGTGTGCGGGATATTTTTTTTGTGCGCCATTGTTCTCCCCGATACTGTTGTCGTTGACCCAGTAGAGAACAACAAGGGATGTGCTGAAAAATGTACACTTCCTCAGAAGTTTTTGTGCTTATCCAGCTGGTATCACGGAACATAGCCTCGTGTATTTTTAGGTATTTTTCCTAAAATATATATCCATATGATACGCCCGCGACTTTCTCAAGGTTGTTGTGACGAACATAAACTTTCGGTTGGGGGGGCGAACTCTCGTGAGGGGGGCGAACTCGCGTGAGGGGGGCGAACTCGAAGGGGTTCACGGGAACTTCTACTGCTGTTCAATGTAACCTTGGGTTTTCGTACGGACGATGAGATTGCTCATGCGAACATCTTCTTCTGCGTTTAGCACCATGGGGCACCCCAGTGCCTGATGGGGCACCATGACGCACCATGGTGCACCATGAGGTCTCATGGGGTACCACGAGAAGCATCCAATAGGGCCTCATGGTATCCCATGACGCACCATGAGAATCTCAGGAGGACGTGACCATCAAATGTCAGACCCCCGATTCAGGGCGACAAGACGACAAGTCGTGCAAAAAACAACTACAGCCAGTTCATGTGACTGACTGCAACGATAGGTTAGTAGAAAAAAAATAATTGAGGGAGGCGCGCGTGCAGCCAGCTCAACGAGCGTCCTGAGACGTTTTTCGAAGTGCTACAATATCTGTTCCGATATGCAAACGCGACGTGTACCATTCTAGTCTATTGTGTACACAACCAGTGACAGACAGGAGTACCGCATTGCAGAACAGAGGACTGGCTGCCAGCCTGTGCATGCACAGCAGAATGGCGGCATCGGACACACAAAGCAGCAGTTGTAGCCTAAAACAGAGGCATTTGGACACCTACTAACTCGTACATGCGTAGAATGATTCCTACATACCGCTGTTGCTTGTTGTTCGTCGGGAGCCGGCAGGCGATCGGTTTAACGATGTGCTGGGCTGGTGGTGACGATGACTGTCCCCACCCCACAGCAAAAGGAGCTGTAGTTGTGATGGTTGGCCAAGCCGGTGTGTTTCTGTGTACGTTGTATGGCTTGTGGGGAACGAGAGAGGTCGAAACCAAACAACCCACCGTGTGTCATCGGGATTGCCACAAAACTGCCTGGGCTTGATATGTAGTCGTTGAGACGTTGAGACCTCTCCTCTAACCCCACAAAGATACATCTCGGATCTCGGTAGTATATTTCCAAGCAATTTCTTGCGCCCCAGGATTTTTTTTTGTTGAGAGACGAAGAATAATGTGCCCTCTCACAACAGTCTACAGCAGTCGAATGGTTCCAATGGTGTATGTAACGCCCATCGGACTAATTCTGCCACCAAAATGCATATGTAGTCCAGCCTGCATCCCGTTGTAGACAGACGAACGATATGAGAATCATCCCGACAGCCTGACTGAGCAGCTTTGTAACAATTAGCCCGATGGGGAGACCGTACAGAACAAGAACTGCCTGCTGTACAGGACCAGCAACTATTAGTAAGTAATACTCTTTTTGTCCTCCGGCTGTCGCACAACATTGAGTTTATTTTTATTCATTGTGCGTCAATGCTCCTTCGAACAAACAATGAATCGACTTTTTTCCTCTTCGCAGCATTTTTTCTTCGTATCACTGTGCACCTCCACCGATTGTTGTGGTATGTCACGTACTGCCGCCGACGCTGCTGATGATGCTGCAGCTGCTCTCTACTTGAAGTATTATAGTAGTAGGAAGGAGCGGACGAACAAGAAAGTGCCACCCACATGCTGGTTCTCCCTGTCTGTTCGCTTGGGTTGATGAGCGGTCGAAATTGGCATATGGCTCTGGTAATTTTTCCCAAACGCACATGGGAGGGAAAGACACAACAAAACACAACAAGCTTGGTTGACTCCACACAATCAGCGGCGTTTACGATCAAATTTAATGTTTAGAATGGGTTTATCGGATGTCCTCTTCTTCGTGTCCAATTCTACGTGTGTATGTACTTCAGTGCAACTTTTGAGAGGTGCTACTGAACTTTTCTCTCTCTCTCTCTCTCTCTCTCTCTCTCTCTCTCTCTCTCTCTCTCTCTCTCTCTCTCTCTCTCTCTCTCTCTCTCTCTCTCTCTCTCTCTCTACAGTATTTCTATCCCTCCCTCTCTCGCCTTTATCCGTGCGAGTCTTTTCTCATTGCTGCATGACATCGTTATATGCATAATAGCAGGACATATGCATAGCAGTGTTGGTCACGGTCTCGCCCGTCACGCCGCATCCCGCACCAAGATTCCTCCCTCCCTCCTCCCTCTGTGCTATGCATATGATTGGACTACACCAACGGTTCCGTGCGTATTTTATCCGTCGGCCATCGCACACCAAAATATGAGTGTGTGACGCGGAGTCTGCCAAGCTCGTGTGGCTTCCTCCCCCATGCTGCTGTTATTTTGTTGGAAATAAGACGAGAACCAGAGCCATCCCAAGTTCGACCGCTCCTCCGACCCAAGCGGAAAGAGAGAAGGAGATGGCGGAGTGGGCGCAAGGACACACGCAAAACGGGGTTTCCCGCTGGCTGCAGCACAATCGGCACCTTCGGCAGCGCGCGATATAGTCTAAATAGTCTAGCGGTGGGGGGTTACAGGTATGTAGGAGCAACGCTGAACGGCAGTCAGGTGCCCCAGCTAGATGGTTGCAGCTGCAGCGGCAGTGTTGTGGCATATTGCTTTGCTCTGGAACGAGGGCAGCAGCAGTGTTCACCAATCGAACATTTCGCCAACCCTTCCCACCGACGATACATCGGAGATACCATATTCGGAGGGTAAACCCCCCCTGACCACCCGGGGAGAGTGTCAGAACCTGCCTGCTTAATCAATTGGTGGACTTCATTACCAGGCACTGGGTATCCTTCTAGACTATCGCTGTTGACACTTCGTGTGCTGTTGTACATATGTGGATCTTGCGTCAGCAGTCCATACGGCAGTCTCCCCACCGGGCTATTTGGTGCAACTGCGGATCGGATGTTTCCAAGATGTGCTTTCATTCTGGTGACAGAATTTGTCCGATGGGCGTAGACCGTGTAAAGTACCACATCCGTGTGTATCTTTCAAGTCTGTTCGTCTCATTTGTTCTGACCCCAGCAGACATACATCTCTACATGAAGGCGAAAAATATGCTTGGAATATTCGATCACAGAAATCCTGGATGTATCTTGTGGGGTTAGTTAGGTCGTTCTGTCCCAAAGTATATAGTGTCTTCAATATTTTCTTGTGGCAACCCCGACAGCAGGTCGGTTGGTTTCCTCGTCCTCCCGTTGACCACGACCCACACCACGCACACACATAATCTCTTCTTCCCCAGCCCCCTATCACAACAATCTCTTCCTCTACGCCCTGCTGTGGCGCGTGGCCATTCATCGTCACCACCAGCAGTACAGCACATTGTAAACCGATCGATCGCCCGCCTCCCCCCCGACAGTCAGTGTAAGTGGTATGCCAACCATGGCCGCTGTTTGTGTCGACAGTTGTGAAAATCTGGTGTCGCCATACTTCATACGACGGTATTCAGTCATTCCTCTGTCTACCAAACGCCGTGCTGGTGTGAATTACGTGTGTATAGTTGTAGCTGACTACTGTAGACACCTAGAACCTGCTTGTTTGTCTGTCGCAAAGGATAGCCCACCTTGAGCCCACTGCAAAACACGTCCCAGGACGCTCGTCGGGTTGGACGCTCGTCGGGTTGGCTGCACGCGCTCCCCAATCATTTTTTCCTGATCAACGTTGCAGTACAGCCATTGGATTTTTTCTTACACATGCCCTACACGAATGTGGAAAGCGATAACTCCGTGTCTACCCATGAAATCGACTTCACGGTGGACGAGGGGGGGGGGGCGGGGCGTACTCATAGTCGTGCATGCCGTAGTCGTTAGACCATTGACCTCGCATCCCTACAAAGCCGGGACGGAGCACGCCGGGTTCTCACCGGACCAGGCTCTCACATCACCAAGCGCCAAGCACCGTACGGTATTCGGCGAGTCGCATGAAGGGTGCGCTGCATCTTGAAAAGGGTGTTCGGCATCTTGTGCTTACTTGCTTGCGTACGGATGACAGCTGCGTATGACTTAGTTTATTTTCTGGTGCTTTCACTTCCAGAGACAGTTATAAGCGCTGTGTAACTGCCTCGAGGGTGCTTGAACAATAGAAACACAACGTGGTGCGATCATCCCCTTTGCGCGGAGTGAGGGTTCTAGACCCCACACAACACAATCAACTCGACCACCATTCATGTTTACCGCCAAAAAAAAAGAGGCAAAAGAAAAAAACAGCGGTAACTGGGTTGCTGAGCTCACGAAGTGATCGGCTTGTTTTACAACGTCGTTGCCAAGCGACGAAAACCCAACCCCGATGGCAAACACCGGGGGGGACAAGGGAATGGAATGAACGCGGAATCCGTCTACTTTACGTGATAAGATCAAGGCAAGCACCGCAGGAGGAAGGCGAAGAAAATCCTCCTGTGTAGCCTTCCGCCTGTATGACCCCCCGGCTGATGCTTTTCAGAAATTGTACCTGCGAAAAATGTAGAAGATTCACGAACGTCGAATATATATTCGAATATTACAACAGAGAAAGGGCACCACGACGAGCAGAAACTCTCCGAGAATGCAGCAAAGAAATGCCCGCCCACCCGCTCTAATGTATCGCCGTTGTGATTGCAAGCGTCAACGGTGGTCTGAGATTTCCACATGCTGTCTGACAGACTCCCAACATCATAGTGTGTAAATAGAAAAAAAACATGTACCATCCATCCGTACCTGTATTTGGCGATTAGCCCGCTCTCGATATCTCCACAAGTCGCCTCGACTCTCTCCGTGATATCCTTCTCTCGTATGCCCCAAAAATTGTGGAACGCGATAACGCCGTGTCTACCCATGAAATCAACTTCACGGTGGACGACGGAACGGAACAAAACGCGGAACGAGCCGTCTCATTTACGCGACAAAATCATGGCAAGCACCGCAGAAGTAAGGCGAAGAATATACTCTTGTGCTTCCTCCTGTTTGACCCCGCGGTTGTGGTTTTCAAAAATTGCACCGAACGATGTAGAAGACCGTCGTCCAGAAAATATGAGAATAGAATGACAAATAAGATGGCACCACGATGAGCAGAAACTCTCCTCGTATACAGCAAACAAATGCCCGCCCACCCGCTCCAATGAATCGCCGTTATGGGCGCAAGGGTCAACAGTCCGCCTCTGGAATTCATACACTGTCTGACAGAATTCTAATATTTTGTGTAAAATATACCAAGGCATGACTGAATACATTTAGGTTGTCTCACGAACTTTGGCCGTCGCTGCTGTCTCGGCTACCGACAAAAAAATGCATACTACTGCAGCGGTCTCAAGTAAAACAGCATTCCATCAACGTCTGCGAGCTCAAAGCGCACGTCAGCCAGTGTGAGTGTTGGCAGGCACCGAGGTCGCGACCTGAAAGATTCCCCACCCAACCAACGATATCTACCTGATGAAAACGCCCCTTTTAACGATGCTTTGCTCTTTCTACATAGATAGTCGGAGAGATTACGTGACTGTGAGAGTGGTTAACAATCTCCCATCGACCAATCAATCCCGTTTCGTTCTGCTCTCCATTGCTCGTGTGACGCCAGCAGGTAGGTGTGTTCAACGCGGTACTCAGCAAACAAGATGTTTAAAAGAGGCCGAAGCAACATCTCATCGCCGTGTTGGCTCTCCTGTCCATGGGCCACGTGTCCGGCCAGCGTATTAGCACTTCGGCGTTTTGGTTCCCGTGTGGAATTCCTTCCACTTATTTTCCACAAGAGTGTGATCGAGCTCTTCTATGGTTTGATGTCCGTCGGGAGACCAACGTGAGTGGTGCGATGCTGTTATCTGACACAGCTAGCTCGATGGGTGAACTCCGTGGCGTTAGAGATATTCTGTATGCCGCGCACAGTACAACAGTATACATGGACTCACAGAGGGCACCTAGAGGAACGTGTGGGATCTCTTCGTCCTCAGCACGCAACACCCGATATGTGCATTCGTTGGATACATTTGGCGACATTCTCGCGACCCTTTCACTTGGGGTTGCCACGATGTCCGACTCGAAAACTCCCCTGTTCTGTCGCTGCCCCCGGCTTGGTGTGTGACGTCGACCTGTGCAGTGCGTTTCGTCGAACCCGATCGTGACTCTCGATTTCACGGGACATATCGCGAGTAGTGGTTACACCGAAGGCACTGTCCAGGGCGACTTCGACAGGATATGGGGGGACGTATCCGATGATGAAATAAGCTTGACCCTCGACATCGGCGAGGCTGATCTTGATGCGGAATACTCCGATACAGGCGGTTTCTGTTTTTGGTCTATTCGTATGTATCTTGACAACTGCGACACGGCCTACACGTGGAGCGAACTTCGTCCAGCTTTCCTACGTCGACGACGAGCAAAACATCATCGACCCCTCCGGCTTTGAAGATCCTTACATCACTGATCCGGACACCGGGATACGTCGTGAGTACTGTTGAAGAGATTGTGCCAACTCAAGAACCGCCATTTGCATTGAATAGTTCGTGCCTCATGCCTTCGTCTCACGGCAACTCTGTTCAGTTTTGTGCTCGAGTCATACAATAATTCAACGTCTGTGCATGTACTCTAAGGCGGACAATTGTGAATGCAAGGTCGAAACTATGGCGGTCTCCGCTTTTCCACCTCAACTGGACATGCCCGTGGATTTCCTCTCTCTCCCTGTCATGGTAGCCACTCTCAGCCCGGTCACGCCATCGCCGTCCACCCCAGCGCCTGTCACCGACTCCACCCCTGCCCCCACTCCTGCCCCGACCATGCGTGGTGAGACAAGATGGTGGATGCATTGGCATCCAGTAGTTTTGGTAGGCCGCAGTGTCAGGCAATGCTCAGACTGTCGTGTGCACCTGATGTCATGCAACGTTTCGGACGAAAATGGTTTTCCCAACAGAGCTGCTGCCGACGCTGTTCTTCCACAGTAACGACGAATTGCACTTCATGCAGTTGGATCCACCTATAGATGGAGAAGATAACCATAAACAAAGACAATCTCAAAGACGCTGTGTTTTGTCATTCCATCTACTCTTGGCGCCAGCTCCTCCTCCACCTTTCTTATTTCTAATGCCGATGCACCAGCCGCGGGTCAAACGTGAGGAAGGTGGAATGGGATTTGACCCCTTCCTTCAGAACCAATCACCTTGAGCTTTGTGGAACTCTCTTGTCCGACCACAGGTGCGAGGTTGTTGTTGCTTTCTGTTGTTATATTTATCTTGATTAACGCTTTCCAAGCCAACTCACAAGATCCCAAGCACGCACGATCATCGGATCGTAGGCACACTCAACAGAAGGGCACATTCCTCGGCAAAACGCCCCAGTCTACCATGACGTCATGTCCTGGCATCTGACGACGGCAAATAACCATAGTTAACCGCGGTCACATGCCTACCTCCAAATGCCATAACAAAGGCTGCATTGTAGTTCCAGGGTTGTCATATTGCGTCCTCAATACTGTCAACAATACACACACAGAGTGTGTTGTACTCTTGTCGTGACTCCACGATGAAATGTTGTGTCATCGTGGAACAACGGCCATGCTGCGCATGCCCGTTGTGGTTATCGTGTGCCCGATGTTGGAAATTGCGTATTGACTTGAGCATGTATAGGTCTCTACGTTCGTTTGCGTGCAGGTAAAGAGACCGAAAAACAAACGAAAAATGAAGTGCCCGAGCCCACTGGTACGCGTTCGACGGACAAGAGAAACAGAGGGTTATCGCCCAGCAACCAAGGCGCCCTCTCTTTTGCCTGCCTCTTCTGCTCTCGCTTGTTCTCCCTTCGTGTCACTCACTCTCTCTGTGCGTCTGTTGGCCTGGTGTGTTGATCGGAGAAAATTGATCAACCCAGCTTTTTTTTCTCAATAGAAGGCTGGAACAACAACAGTCTTTTTCGACTTTATTGACAAGGGGCCTATCTGGTGTATTTCTACGCACACAACGTTTGCCTCACACAGCGGTGGGTTCGAATCCTGGCTCAGCCCGTGTCCCTTCCCAGAAACAATACCCACTAGCGTTGTTGTTGTTGTTGTCTTCACATTGAAAACCGTTCCGATCTCTCTCTACCCAGTACCTTCATATGTCCGTACTGATCCAACACTTGACGCGGTCGATTCCCGTGGTCACAGGCTAACTTACCCTAAAAAGGTACGCTCAAACAAACTGGCCCCGAGGGGTCCGCAAGTCAATAGAAATCAACGACAGATATTCTGGAGTCCTCCGCTCCCTCTGCGCGCTATGCGAGGTAACAACTGAGACTAGGAGTCAGCATCACGGGCCAGAGAGAAAGAGGTACACCCCCTTGGTTCAATCTTGGTGCTTCACACGCAAGCAGAGGCAAGGCCATCCGACACAGAAAAAGAGAGAAAAAAGAGCGACAAAGAGAAAAAAGAGGAAAAGAGAAAAAAATAAAAGGAAACAGGAAGAAAAGAGAAAAGAAAACGAAAAAGATAAAGAGCGAGCACAAAAAGAGACCGGGCCGAAAATAACAAGAAAATTCACAACTATTTCGATGGGTATTTGTTTGGGGTGATTCTCGTTCCAACCACCTGAGATCGATCGTCCACTGCTATCGCCACTCACCGGTGGCTCTTTCCCCTCGCCACCCCCCGGTTTCGAACAGCTGTGCGGTGATAACTCCGAGTGCATCGTCGACGCGATCGTTGTGGGCCTGGATGTGGGAGCTTCCACCCTTGAAGCCGGCCAAGAGTTCGAGGGGGAGGTTCAAGCGGCTGGCGGTGGTGAGTCGCGTAGACATTTTCCGTTGTCAATCAATTTAATAGGCCGCTGACGTGGACGTACTGCCCCTTCTCACACGCCTCGTGCCCCCCCATACGCCAGTACCACCTCTCTCTCGCTCTCTCTTCCTCTCTCTCTCGCTCGCTACAACAAAAACCCGACAGACTTGTGCGAAGAAAACACCTTTAGCAACGACGGCTTGTCTCCGTGCACCGACTGCCCTGAGGAGGCAACCTCCGGCAGGGGCGCCTTCGTCTGTGAAGGTACCGTGGTTAGTCACCATACCTATGCTTTGTACCGCGTCCAGTAAAGAGGAAGGCGATTTGTTCACGAACGGTTTGAGTCGAAGCCCGGCCCGGTACGATACAGTAGAAAATGCTTGCTGGACAAAAGAATTTCGGGATCGAGTTGCCCATGTAGTGTACACGCGGCTGATACATGGGACTTCCTGCCAATATTTTTCATAGATTTGGCAGCTTGATTGGTTAGACTTCACCGCTTGGCGGCAAGACGTAAAAATATATATCACCGAAATCGGAACATAGGTATGCCCATGTTTGTTAAGCCACTATGATCGTCTAGCAAATAAAATGGCTGCGTTCGATAAAATTGTTTCCCTCCCACCCTTGCCGGTCCGTTGTCCACCGTCCAATCTTTATGAAGCGGTTTCGACACCCAGCCCAACTACTAGCCCCACGTGGAACCTTGTTCCCAGCCCCACTCCCGTCATTGATAATCGCCTCCTACTCAGCCCCGTGTGGAGCACACAACCTCCCACTCCCACCCCCAGTTCTGGCCCATCGACTGCGACGGGCTTTACCCCCGATTCGCTGGGGTGCTACGAGGACGACCGCGAAGACCGTATCCTGGACGATCTCGCTCTTTCCGACGACTCCATGACAACCGAGGTGACTAAATCGTTGTTGATGTTTGTTGAAACGAAGAAGCACAGAGGCATGCTTGTGAGGATTTCCTCGTCATCACGTCCGGACTCGAACCTCCGAAACTCTCTCCCTAGTTGACGTAAGGATATCATGCGATCAGGGACTAGCTAGTGTCCTTGCTGAACTGCTACAGGACATATCAAAGGTACCACCGTCGACTGGTAGATGTTTTGCAGTTTCCGGTCACATGTCACCCTAAGCGGACAATAACACCCCACGTTCACGTTGATCACTCATGCATACACACGTAGAAGACTGGCCTCGTCTAGGATTTTTTGTTTCGGCAACACCCAATCTCGTTATGGTTTACCGCCATGATGTTGTGTGGCTATTACAATATGACCAAGGTACTGGGTGGCTGCCAGACGCGGGTCTACGCTCCTGCGATGTACGTTGCGCCTCTAGCAGTTAAGAGCTGCGTGAACCCTGTCCTGTAGCCTGTAGCCATCTCGTTGACCACCGCCTTTCCCTCTACATCGTGCTGAAAATTGATGTTCGCCTGTTCGTTCACCGAAATTCCCTCCCGATTCTGCCGTGTTGTGCCGATACATGTTTCGGACATCAGCTGTGCGAGCTGACATGCCTCGGAAGCACCTACTTTGCCACCCAGTACGGGCGAGAGGTGAGTTAGCGTCAAAAGGATAGAGACCCGCCCTGATAAATATCTCTCACGAAATATTTCTGTGAAGAACGTTCCGCAGACACACGTCGAACCTGTTTTGGATGTGTCAAGTCAAATCATCTCCTTCCTGCGATAGGTCCGAATTGCGTTCAACATATACATGCCGAGGTCAAGGAGACGCTCGCACCATTTCTGTCTCTGGCCGTTTGTATTTCTTTCCATTATTTTCCACGACGTTCGAGTATCGCGTTTGGTAGTCCTCCGTACGTTTGCGGATGTCTGGGTGTCGACCGAAAGGCACAGGACGTGCACCAAGAGACGCCCCGAGTAGGTGAGAACGGTTTGTCAAGGTGGATAAACTAGCAACGACGACGACGACGATGACGTCAAGCAGAGTGTTTTGCATACAAGAGCAATGAAGGCTGTTCTAAGACAGATTTTCCTCGGGCATCAGACGAATGGAGTAAACACAGGCGAGATTTCCGTTGAACACGGTCAGCGTAAGAGCTTGAAGATAGAGGACGGACTCCGTGGCCGTCATTCAATTCCATAATGATGAACAAAACCCTGAGGTTGAACTTGTGAATCGTTGTCGTCGACGCGTTATCAAAAGCATTGGTCCCAAGCAGGTGTTCTTGCGACTTTCTGTCTGTCAGCCTGACCGAATGGTCAGGCCTTCTTCGTCTCTACCGAAGCGCACACATGCTGGTGTGTGTTTGTTGCCTCTGCCAAACGCATTCTTGGCCAAAACCCCGCATCGCACCCGGTTGTCTGTGTTGCCTCTACCTGAAACAAACACACGCAGTGCTGGTGTGGTTCGGCGGGTATGGACTACGCTTTGCACGGGGAGTCCACCGACTGCACCTACGGCTGCGCGGGGAACGCTGACCAAACGTGCGGCGGGTTCGACGCCGCCAACGTCTACCGCTACACGAACGAGAGCACTCCGACGTCATCATTCGTGGGATGCTACCAAGACGAGTCGGACGCCCGCATGATGGAACTCGCGCTGACGGACAGTTCTTCTATGACCAAGGAGGTGCGGAGGAGTGGTTCTGGTTTGTTCTTGTAGAACATGTTAAATATACTCTCTTTTTGAGTTCCATGCTAAGTTACATCGCGGTAAGTCCTCCCGATTTACCTTCAAGTAGTGTGCTGGTTTTGTATCCCATGCTAAGATAAACCTCGGTCAATTTATCCTGATGTGACCAGTGTGCTGATCGCTCAGACAACTCACGCGCCTAACTCTTTGAGGAGTAACATCAACGGCGTTTCGATGTGGAACTGTTGAAATTTCAGTCTTATTTTAGCAGTGAAAAGCTGCTTCTACTCTTCCCCCTGGTATGGAGTCTTGATATCGGTTGGTTTTGCAGATGTGCGAGGCAGAGTGCACCGGAAACAGGTACTTCGGCATGCAGTACGGGAGCGAGGTAAGAGGCGGTTCCCTGTGATATAACCGTGGCAAGAATCAAGTTGACGTTTCTACTGTGATGGTGACGAAGGATTTTGTCGTGTGGTTTGGCAAGCTAATGTCTACTGCCCCGTGTCCGTGGCCAACACTGTTAACCTTGCCTAGCAGACGAGGCAGAGAAATATCCAAACGCTGGTGACCGAAAAAACACCCGGTTATCGCCGGTCGCTGACGCCACTTTCCCACTTCCCGTGAGTTCCTAATATTGAATCACTGTGTTCCGATGTGTCATCCAACAACAGAACTCGTACCAGCACTAGTTACGAGAGCATACGGCAAACATCGTCGCTGGACATGACGCAACAAGTAAGGGTTGAAATGAACAGTAGTGCTGGTGGCACCTACTTAGCAACACCCAAATTGATTTTTCCATTTCATATTGTCGCCATGTCTGACGGCCATGAATCGACTCCAACAGTGCTTCTGCGGCGGGAGCTCAACCAACCTCTTGGAGAACGGGGAGTCAAGTGCCTGCGACTACGAATGCCCGGGGGACTCGGAGCAAGAGTGCGGCGGATTCTACGCCATGAGCGTGTACTCCTACTACTCGTAGTGCCATCTCCACAAGAAATTGTGATATCTCCTGGCTTCGCGTCAGAATGGGTGGTGGTCCAGCGGACTCCAAGCTACCGCAATACGAAGACCTTTGTAGCCCCCCCCTCCGACATCGTAGGGAGATGGCCGAAAATGCGGTCGATGCACAAAAAGATATCTTTCCACGGTACAAAAGGTTGCGATCGGCAGTCAGTGTTGGTGCACTCCACCTACAACTACAATTGTATATCACAATTGTATATCTCCAATGCATGGATGACGATAAAAAGTGCTCGCGAAACGCCTCGCGGATGGCATATGCCTATATGATTATCCTGAATGGCAATCTTCACGGAGCGACGTTAGCCAACCCATTCCGACTTGCCGGCGTTCATCTTCGACTGTCACAACACAAAACAAAAGGGGGACTACTTCACGAAAATGTGGGGTACGACAGCAAGCACGCGCATGCCTACCGCTAGACTAAAGAATTCCGTGCTAGCGCTACCTGTGCCTGTGCCAAAGCACATCACATATCTCTCGTTTTACACCTATTTCCTTCACAAAAACAACGTTGATGGCTAGAACAAGACGTGCATTTGCAACATGCATCTGGGCCTCTTGAGGACGTGCACACTAAACCATACTCTAAAACATGCCTATGCTATGGGGATGGTAGAGGCTCTAAACTGCAGCATCTACTACCGCAGATATCTGGTGAAGGTATTGGAAAACATCTTCTGATTCTGTCAACTAGGGAACACTGTGATTTACCCTATCGTAGCACGCTTGCCCAGATCGGTGTTGACTTCACCGGTGAAGATTCGACTTCAGCTCGCGCGCTTTGGGATTCCGAACGAAGCAAACACTGGGAAGAAAACGAACAAATCACGAAATAACACAGCACCGTCTAGGGTGGACCCACTGGCGGCCCTACGGCCACCCTCCCACGTTCTTGTCACGCATCATGTTCCCAACCGGCTCCTGATGAAGGACGCGAGACGTACGTTCGGGCTGCTGGCTCTACAGACTAATGCCTACCACAAACGCATGTTGTTTATTACGTTTACATTTCTAGGGAGAAGCAAAAAATGAACCGCGCTCATCCAAAACCCTTCTCTTATGTCCCGCCTTGATTGGAACGTGATATTCACGATTGCTATTGCGCCATGTCTCCCACACTACGTCTCAGCTTTTACGCCGCCGGCTGTCGGGGGCTCTGCGGCAAGGAAATTATTTCTGGCGCCCAGCACGTTGTGTGGGTCCAGCGCCCGCTTCATTCCGAGCACGAGGTCGGTCATGACCGGGGAAGAGACCCTCGAAGTGAAACCTGCACGGAACAGCGCGCCGCCGGGTTGTACACCAATTTGAAGATGTTGGAGCGACATCAAAAGCAAAATGACACCGTAACGTCTGGCTTGGGTCGTTCGTTCGAACATAGACGCACAGGTTTGTCCCCCGTGAGCACATGGGCAAGGTGTGTGTTGGGAGTAGACGAGGTTGACTGGGACGCATGGCAGGCCCCACAAGCTCCATTGCGCTGCACACGCGTTCTGTGCGTGGAAGGAAGGTTCTCTATACTTGTATGCATACGGCGGCGGGAGGTTCGGAGTGCCTGAAAGCGGTCGCCTTCTGGTTGCAAGGTACATGAAATGAGAATAGGGGGTGGGGTCCCGACAGAGTGGGGAAATATCTGGCGGTTACGATACATGTCGTCGCTGTCTCTTGCACATGCAGACGGCTACAAGAACGTTCACCTGCTCTGGATTTGCCAATTCCATGGTGGTGGCTCAGGGAGCCCCCAGCCAGTAGGATCTCATCTCTAGCAGCTTCTTCCAGCCCAGAAAAGACATCAACAGGGTTGCGAACACCCTGTGAGGTGCGAGCACGCATTCAATTGCAACGACCGATGACAAACGAAGTTAAAGGAAGACAGCACGAAGTCCATCGGAAAATACAATCGTACACGACACCGAATCGAGACGACGAGCAGCGAATCCAGGAAACCAAAACAATATAAGCAGCCAGCAAAACGTAGATGAATCCCACCAGAACTACAGAACCGGGAACCAGAGACTGTGACAAAGCAGAAAACTTGTACAGAGGGAGAAGCAAGCAAGCAGATGGAGGAGATGTGGTTCTGGGAGACACGCCAGAACCCACGCGTACTGTCATCAGTTTGTTTCCCATCACGTTAAATCAGCGCCCACAGCCCATAGCATTTCTGCCGGGTAGGAGCTATCTCCAATCCGTGGTCACACAGAAGAATTCCCCCCCATGAGGCCCTCTACCCACCCATCCTTAGGTGTTTGCCTTGGATTATATTAATGCGAGAAGATGCAGCACTCTCTTCCCTCAAACGTACGCACGAACTATTACAGCCCTTTCCACAAGCAGGAACGAAAGCGAGAGGGCAAATCGCTTTGCAACGAACGCTCGGTTATGCGAGGATTCGAGCCCCTGACCCTATTTAGTAGTCACTACAAGGTTGCGAGGATACCAACTAGACTCATCAGTCAAGAGACACAAAGGAAGCCCCATCAAGAACCAGACCTCGCGGCAACCGACCTGGGCGTAAATGGCGAGGTAGAAGTACACGCAAGCTCCTTCGGGGTAAAGCTGGGTGACGCGGTGCGTGACGAAGGCGTCGCCCCTCAGGCCTCTGTCGCGGTGTTCTTTTCGCACTCTATCTCGCACCTGATTGGAGGGAAGGACAGGTGCACCAATGAAAAGGTTTCATGGAAAAGAATAGTTCCAGATGTTTTCCTGACCGACAGTTGGACCCACGGCGCCAGGGTGAAGAGGACTCCTGGACTAATAATAGTTTGGTTGTTGGTTGTAGAAGAATTTACATGTTCACGAATATGCACGCACTCATGTGGTACGAATCAACTCTCAGTGCAGTACTCGGGTGATGATCTTAACCTTTCGGAGGGCACGACAACCAAGAGGACTGGCCGTAGCGTAGGCACCCCACGAATCAAAGCCTAATCGGGTAGGATACCATGGAACGATTCAGAAAAAGGCTGGCTGACGACGGACCACACCACAACAAACGTGGCGGTGAACCCTCAACTCTGGCCACGTCGCGCTCTCTCTCTCTCTCTCTCTCTCTCTCTCTCTCTCTCTCTCTCTCTCTCCGCAAGAGGATCAGCCTGTGTACCTTCTCGCAAAGCCCTTCCAAGGCCGTCCACGACACGAAGGTCTCGAACGACTCTCCCAGGACATCGAACAGGAGCGCAAAGTCCCGGAGGTACGCGATGGCGAAGGTCAGGTCGTAGCCGGACTTGCCGGCGCTCGCACCACCCGAAAGGCCCCCGTGAGATTGCGCGATCCTCGACACCTGCGTCGAAGTGGCACCAGGGGAATTAGCGGCGACAGCGGCAGAGCATCAGTAAACACACGCAGCAGCAACCACGGTACAACGGAATAAATGTTTCCTACAGAACAGTCGCAACAAGGTGATATGGAGGTTGTGGTCCTTCCGTTATAATGCAAACGAAAACAAAACTAGATGGAAGCAAGCCCTCGGTGAAGAAGCACGGAATGCCAGATGCTTAACCCCAACGATCAGACACGGTAGTTTTCTGTGAATACGACAGTGAGGGACGTGTGCCACGTCATGTCCGAGTTCCTCATGTCTAGCAGGCGAGTGCCCCACGATCTGTGTCGTGTCGACAGCTCTACGCGTATGCGCCCCGCGCTCCTCCAGTGCAGTACGTCTTGTTGCGATTGTTTACACGCCAAGCGTGACGCTCCCAGAACACACGAGAAAACTGAAGCATGTGTGCGTGTGCAAACTAACGGGACGGACAATCCGCGCCGTCCAGAATGAAGAAATACCGACGGCGGAAGAAGAGTAACACAGATTTTGTAGCAAGTCTTCACACGGCCACTTGTTGCGGATGGAACAAACCGACTAGTGACAAATAAAAAAACTGAAGAGAGGGTCAATCTCGGGCATCAGCAAACAACCCACCTCCCTCTTTTGCAGGGCGGCCTCTTGCCGCGAACCTTCGAACACCATGGTCACCGCTGACGTCTCCTTCAAGCCCCAGCCCTTCCAAAGCCGGATATAGGCAGATTGCGCCTTGGGGACGAGGCTCCTCAGAGTCGGTCTTAGCCCACCGGCCACATCGTCCTGCAGTAGGAAGAGCAGCGCGAACACCGCAAGAGTGCGAAAGAGCGAAATATATGTCAGCGCCAAGGGAATAATGAGGGCCAACATATCCTTGGGTGTCTCGCGCCTGGATAGCCTTCGTACGGCGTGATCGCGGCTCGACCAACGCGGAACGAAACAAAAAAAAAAACGCTGATAGGAGGAGTTCAAGAGTGGGGAAGCGGGAAACAGCAGGAAACCGGTGTTGGTACAAGTAGTTAGTTTGACTTAGTTTCATGGCCACATGTAAACCAGACTCGCGATTCAACGGCATGCCTAGCTTGGGGCTGACGCCAACGGCGATGGAAACGAGCTTTAATACTGGAGGGCCCAAGGACAAGGATCACAACAGCACATGGACGAAGGGGGAGGGGGGGGATGGAATACAATCTGCGGGAGATGGTTTAGGAAACGCCGTCAGTAACCGATGTCAGGATGACAAACCAACGTTGCCGCCCTGAACCAAAAATCTCGAAGGGTATCGGGACCTATATCGAATCTCACCAAGACACAACAAACTCAGACCAACGCGCCAAGCACAGGGGTAGGTATGCATACGCAGGTCCCTTGACGCACCTCGTCGCCCTTCATGGCCTTGCCCAGCCTCAACTGTCGGTTGTCCAAGAGACGACAGCTAGCAAGCCCAAGGCGGCCGGAGCAGCGAGAAAGCTCCCGGCAAAACGCCACCCCAGTCTGATGTTCCCAAAAACAGGGGAGCACGAAGACATGCACATCCGAGAACATGACGCCAAACAAGGCGTGGTGAGAGGAATCATACGGGTTGCAGGCGGTGGAAGCACTTTGAGCGAAGACGTCGAGGACGTTTGTCAAGGGGACACTGTACGAGGATACGATCAAATTAAACGGCCGAACGTCCAGCGAGACGTCGAGTAAACGCCACCAATGACACAAATTTGACCAAACCAAATCGTGCTTAAATTGCACAAAAATCAAAACACGATATGGTCCACAGGAACAACATTTCCAACAGGAGAAACACCGACATGCTCGCGTCAGTCAGCCTTGCCACGGGTGACGACAAAAAAACTATTCGAAAAAAAGCACGTGCCTTCGTACAAGTCCACAAAGCGGTGACATTGGGGAGGTGTGGGAGCTAGAGCTGTATTCCACCGGTTCACCTCAGACAAAAAAAGAGATATTAGGTCCGTTTAAGATTACGACACCCGGGACCGTTCGTTACCTTGAAGTCTCTGAAGAGGAAGGAGGCGTGCTCCGATACTTGCGGCAGCGGGACGACCTTGACCACGACGCTAGTGATGATTCCCAGGCAGCCTTCGCTCCCGAGCATGGCAGAAGCCAGATCCAGACCGACGGACGTCCGCGAAAAAGCGCCTGGCGCCTGGTACGGGGGACATGGGAAAAGTAGAAGCAACAGAGAGAGAGAACCAGAGAGAGAGAGAGAGAGAGAGAGAGAGAGAGAGAGAGAGAGAGAGAGAGAGAGAGAGAGAGAACCAGAGAAATTGAGAGAGAATCAGAGAAATTGAGAGAGAACCAGAGAGATAGAGACAGAGACAGAGAGAGACAGAGAGAGAGAGAGAGAGAGAGAGAGAGAGAGAGAGAGAGAGAGAGAGAGAGAGAGAGAGAGAGAGAGAGAGAGAGAGAGAGAGAGAGAGAGAGAGATTCTCAATTTAAGCAGGCGCCGTGATTTGGTTCGAGGTAGGGGGTATGCAACATCCCAGGCTCTGACAGCCAACGGCAAGGGTTTCATGTTCAGGCCGAAAGGTTCAGCGAGGGGTTGCCACCGGAAGCATCAAGAAGGAGGTAGGTCTCGAGTCGTGGTGGGCATTATAAGAGTGTTTATCCTGCCAGGTGAAACCGTCGGCATTCAAGCGTTTCAAGGGTTAAACTCTAGACAGCGTGTTCGGAAAATGGCAATACTTTTGTGAAACAAAAACGGCAGTGCAAGCCGTGATAAGGTGACCCCGCGGCGCACGTGTCCATCCCGCTCTACATGTTTTGTTTCATCACAACACAGCTGCAGGCCTAAACGCTGTTTTTCGCCCACACCACGAGACACAACGTGCTGCAGTAGCACAACCGGTGCAATTCTCAAGACACGGGACCGTAAACGAGGCCCTCCCAAGAAGTCAAGCTGCGACTATACCTCACCTTTGGCTGGTCGTGAACCCTGTCGGAGTGCTGCCAAGCGAGGCCCTTACCAGTCACCACCCGGACCTCGAGCACCATGTCCTCGATGTTGCCGTACCTGTAAGGATGACGTCATCATGTACGAGTGCGTATCGGTGTCAAAAAGTCCACACAGCAGTCCATTGATTTCAAATATGTAGCGTGGAACAACCTCCAGAAACTACCGTCCTTTGATGTGCCAAAAGGTGGCAAAAGGTGGGAGATGCACGGGGTGGGCGAACACCCTCTGGCCAGTCAACGTTGGCGCAGACACAATGGGGACCCAACCATCACGCTGTTCAAAATCCCTGCAACCACCCGAAATCGTCATCCTAAGCAATCTAAATACATACAAGTATCCCCTGATACCTCCGGAAATGGCCATCCTTTGATATGGCACGAAGTAGGAGATGCACAAGGTAGGCGAATACCGTCTCACCAGCTGGACGTAAGCGCAGAATATTGGTAACCTAACAACTACACCCCTCGAATACCTGCGACCGCCCGATTTCGTCATCCTAAACAACCAAAAATCAAATCCATTCCCTAATACCCTAATCCCTCCAGAATCGTCCATCCTTTGATGTAGTATAAGATGCGACCACCGTCTCGCCAGCTCCATTTTAGCACTGACATATTGGGGACCTAACCAAGACACCCTTCAGGAACCCCTGTGAGCGCACCCAAATTCGTCACCTTAAACAACCCGAAAATTCATTCGCTATCCCCTACTTCAAGGCTACTGCTGAGGCCTTCACCAGCCAGCAGGGCTATCGCTGCATGAGATGGACCAACACGGAGTAGCACCTCCTGGAAATTATCCAACGGAAATGTTTCCATAATGATTTGTCCGATATCGAAAGCAAGAGGAAGAAAAACGAAGAAGGACATGGTTTGCGCATGGGCAGCGAAGGAAAATTTGAGACGCTTAGATCCCATCGCGGGACAGGCGATCCTTGATGATTCCCATGCTGACCAATCCCTCTTGTTCGTGAACGCACACATCCACAAGCACGTATCCCACAAATTCCCGTCACGCTCGGAACGGTATGAGAGACTGGCTCGTTCAACGACACCCGGGAAAAATGTCCGTATCTCAGAAGTACCACGTCCTTGCGGGCTCGACACTGCTAACAAGCCGTTTCTACCCACCGTCCCCTCTTCATCCCCGAAGCCCGAGTGGCTACCCAGCCTCCCAAGGTGGAGAACTCCAGGCTGTCGGGCTCGTGGCCCGTCGTGACGCCTCTCTCGGCCAACTCCGCGGCTAGCTTCCTTCCCACCACTCCGGCTTGGATGTGCGCAGTGCCGTTGGCATCGTCCACGTCAAGCACGCGGTCCATCTGGGGTGGGTGGATGGGGAAGCGGGGAGACGGAACGTGTGTGAGAAAACGAGACCCGTCATATGTGGTACGGTAGTACTGCGGAAGAGAAAACCGTGACAGGTGACAGCGTACTGGCATGTGTGCCGAACGAGTGCAGCGCATGTCAAATGGAGAGACAACAGGTGGTTCGTGTGTAGCGTGTGAGGAACAATGCTGTTTAGAGCATGTTTGTGGCGCCAAATGTGTACCGAATGCAAGAAAAATGCCAACTGCAGAATGGGACAAGTCGGGGTCGTGGTGTGGTATGGGGAAAGGGAAACGTGAAGCGCAACTGGTCTCACCGCGAGATGGGACTATCCATGACAGAGGCGAAACACGATGATGCACATACGATGGACATTTAAATGGGAGCATGATGTGCGACGGTCTCTGTTCTCGCAAGATAACATAGACAAGTCTTTTTCACGGTTTCCGGTGAACCCTGGTAAATTCGCGATGAGAGATCCAACTGACAAGGTTGACCGTTGACAGACACCGAAGGAAGACAAACGAAACAGAAGAGAACCACGAATTGCACCAAGAAGCAACAAAAAGAGAGAAAAACGGTAAGGATTGCGGCTGTGCTTGCCTTGCGCATGTCGACACTGACCACCGGGCGAGGCTCGACGTCAAGGGGAGGCACCTCCAGCGCTCTCGTGACGCTAGTGCCGCCGCCGAAGGGGATGAGGCAGACGCCCTCAGCTCCCGCCCACTCCATCAGGCGCGATACCTGGACAAAGTAGAAGGAAGATGCGGAGGCGTATTGGGGGAGAGTGAGGACGACGGTATCATCCAGACAGCTGTACTTGGGGACAACGACCACCATTCCTAGGGGTGGAAGCTTTCAACCAATCGCAAGTCTTGACGCGTACGTAGTGAGTCGGAGAGCTTATATAATAGTTCGAATCATCTCGAAACCCTAAGTTGAGGCTCAGTGACGCGCTTCGAACGCGCGACGTCAACCTTGGCATGAGCCATCCTGGATCCGTGGACGAAACACCTCACGTTTCCATCAAACCCGCCACCCCGATCAGACAAAAGTTTCGTTGCGGGAGCATGCAGGGATAGGCAGGGCGGGGGTGGGCATCTTGGCATTTTGAGGATCCTGGTATTCTAGACAAGGCTTGAGCCACCGCCACGTAAGCGATCACCCTCTCGCTGCAATACGATACGATCGAGTGGTGTCTCGAAACCCGGCAAGTCTACCTGGTCTTCTGAGGTCGGCCACACGACCGCATCGGGTGAACGGCGCATCCTCCCCGACCGAAGGGACCAAATGTCCGAGAGGCCATGCCCCGCGCCGTGCCTCGCTCGCTCTTGCCTCGACAACGAGACCTGGGTCAAGGAAGTCGGTGCAACAAACACGAGTCAGTCGGCCAAGTCAGAGAGGAATCCAGAAGACCAAGTACCCAACAGGGTAAATTTCCCCAGAGCGAGGGCAAGTTTGGTGGTGGTGCTCTTACAGTCGCACATTGTTTGCGGTGGGCGAACTCGAAAATAGCGACTGCAGCAACGCTCGGAGAAAGTGCCGAAAGTCCACTGTGGCCAAGGCGTGGAATTATTGTACAAGAGGAATGTGAATCTGCGTGCCTTCGGACAGAACACAACGAAACGAAAAATCGAAAACGAATTACACGCTTCTGACTGACGCCAAAGAAGAATTACTTCACGACACATGCGTCATGCTTTTCCAGAAACGTAAGAGCGTCAAACCTGCTCTTTGACGTCAAACCCGAGCCCCAGCGCTTCCACCATCGTCTCAAGAAGGGTTCGTGTCTGCTGCCCTCCTCCCGTTCCAGCACTCTCGTGATCCCGCCCCCCTCCCAGACAATCCCCTCTCCCGCCGCTTCCAACATCCGAAGCGGGTTCATATGCGCCGCGCCCAACGTCCAAGGACGAGGGTTTCGGTTTCAGCAGGCGGGAGGATGGGAGGGAAGGAGGGGGGGGGCTGGCTGCTCGCCTGGCTTTACCCTCCGCGGAGATGGGCACGCCGATGGCCTCTCGAACGAACGGCAGCAAGCCTCGGAGGGGTCGCCCGCAAATGCCATACCTGTATGAAAAAGGGAACGGGGGCGTGACGTGTAGGATCCTGTGTTGCTGGGACAAATCGCAATTGATATTATATGTGGTGAACGGGAGCGGCCGGTCGCCAGCTAATGGACGATCTTCCCTTACTTACACAGAGTGTGCACAGATAAGCGTTTGTGGAAAGCATTCGAGACGAAGCGACAAGGGCATCCAAGTCTCGAGAGACACAAGTACCAGAACGCTTGCGCACGTCCATACGATCCCAGGGTGCCCACCGTGGGACCCCCTAGCTTCGGGAGACATAAAAACGACGGGGAGGCACAATCAGAACCCGCACGATAGCTGGCCCAGTCCTCCGTCAGATTTGTTCTGACAATTGAGGGTACAGCCTGTCAGATAACGGCGTAACGCCTGCTCTGCTGGTTCCGCAGTAGGTAGCACGCCTACGCTGGCGTTCTCTCGTTCTAGGTCAACAAAACCTTATCCGTTCCCCCGTCACACTCGAGGCGAGCGGTTTCGAACTTCGAACAACAAACTAGAAACGCAAGGAACCCTGATACACCAGCCCCAACGCCTACACACAAAAACATCGACGAGACCACAACGAACCTCGCAAACAAACAAACAACAACCAGCGCTCAACAAAAATGTCCGATCAAGCCTAACCTAGCATCCATTCTGACCTGTTCCCTCGCATCACCACGAACGGGTTCGCCTCATCCGACCGGTCCGACTCTATGCAGAAGCCTGAATCGCGGAACCCCCAGGAGCCTACCGCTTCCTTATCGCCGTCCACCGCACCGAACCAGCCATCGTCGTCTTCCACAGCAGTAGCGGGTTCGGGTTCGCCACCGTCACGGCCACGACCACTCCGCCGTGAAACCGAGACGGACTCTGCCGCAGCCGCCGCCGCCGCCGAGGCGGTCTTGAAGCCGGCCTCAGAATCGTCATCAATGGCGGCGAAATCGGCACCGTTTCCTTCGGCATTGTTTCCGCGGGGATCGTCCCCGCCACAACCAAGAGACAGAGCGACAGAGGCGAGGAACAAGGAGGGGGCGCCGCGGACAGCGCCACCACATCCCCGCACCTCCGACCGCGCCCCCTCTTCGCCTTCGCTTGAGCCTGAAGAGTGCTCCGCTCGCCACGCCCCGCCTTCGTTCGCGTTTCTCATGAGGACCTGCAGCACATGGCCGGGGCTGGGTCGAGAGAATCCCCTCTCGACTAACGCCGCCCGCGCTTCCGCCACGGCGCTTTCCGCGCGGTCGAACTCGCGCACGACAGCTGCCAGCACGCGTCGCGAAGCGGCAGAAGAGGACCGAGCATCTTCTTCTTGGTTCTCGCCGTCGCCATCGTCGTCACCGTTTCGCCTCGAGTACCTGCAGTAGCTGCCTCGACTACCATCGCCATGGCCATGGCCGTCGTCGACCGAGGGTGTTGTTTCGAGCGACGAAGTTGCCGTTTCCTCGGACGGCGTGATTTCGAACGAAGAAGGGGACGACGAGGCGGTGGTTGCTGCCGTGCAGGGCGTTGCTCCGTCATCGTCCAGAGACGAAGTCAGCTCGAAGGACGACGGTGTAGAGGACGACGAGCACGACGACGTAGACGCGCCGGTGGCCATCACCCACGACCGGGAGGAAGACCCCGAAGAAGATTCGGTCGAACGCGGCGAGTTCCGCGCTGTCTCAGCGACGGCGGCAGCGGCGGTGTCGGCGACAACGCCGGCGTCGGCGTCAGCCCTGGCGTTAGCGGTGCTATCGCTCAGCCAAAGAGTCGAACGCTGTCCAAGAATGACGCCCTTCTCATTCTCCTCGCGTCTCGCAGCAAGCCTCGCTGCGGAATCTGCCGTCGAAGTAGCAGCCTTAGAAGATAGCGGTAGCGGCGGCACGAGCCACTCTGCCCACCTCGACCAACTTCGACTGCTGCCGCCGCCATCTCTACGCCCGTGACTCCTCAGCCTGTCGTGCAAGAGATGCACCCATTGCAGGTGGTTCATCCACGCCTCCATATCGTCGGAGGCGGGGGTCGCGGAGGAAACAAACCGCTCGACCGTCGGCACGTCGCTGGCATAGCGCGATGTTGGTAACGGTTGTGGGTTTGAGATGGGGTAGGCCTTATCTGACCCCTGCTGATGGAAGAAGCGATGTGCCAAAATGTCACACCGCGAGGTGGGAAAAGGAAAAGGGGGGGAGAAGAGCAAGGAAGGTTGTAGATTACGAGTCTAGCCTCGTGTGTTCACAAAGTCGATGAAGCGCCGAAGAACATGAGGTTGGGGGGTAGCAATACATCCATGATTTGAATCCTCGAGCCCTCGAATCCTTCGGGGGGTCCGTGGTGTCAAACATAAAGGAACATGGTCCGAAACAAACAAGAGGATCGGAATCTATGCTTGGGAAAGGCACTAATTACCGCTCGACCACGTGCCAATGCAAGGCTACGGCCACAGATGTCACTCCGCTGTTGCCTAACGCTGCTGTGCACGCCTTCGTCATCGCGGCCGGATCGCGTGCCAATCTCACCTTCCCATTTCTTCGGACCCAGACACCACGACAACAGCTATGGCAAAACCAAACAATTGCTTCTACACTCAAAATGCCAGCGTTTCAACCTTCATCCCGGGGAAACGGAACACAAAAATATTGAAGTGACCTCCACATCGGACGCGGGAACCAATCAGATTGCAAGCGGTTAAACGGACGACTCACTTCACCGATCCCGTCGTCCACGTCCCCTTCCCACACAGTCCCGCCCAGCTCGTGGATGCACTCTCGAACGTCACCCTCTTCCAACCCGAGGTGCCCGCTCGCCTCCCGGACGTGATAGGGGGTCACCACGGTGCCTGACCGGTGCCGACGCCGCACCTGGGTGTTTCGTCACGCATAGGCATACGGGGGTACGCGGTCGGAAAGCTGGGGTCAGCAAGACAGGAGACCTGCCGTACGTGGGGCACACGGGGGCGACAAGTCCAAAACCTGTGTAGGTTTACGCGCACATCGCTCGAGATTCGGTATTCGAAATGGTGCAACGAGACTTCTGAAGTCCTCCAAGACCAAGCGAGTATAGACAATGAAGTGAGGAATAAGGTAAAGGCTACGGCATGCAGCAAGAGCACCAAACAACACCAGCTGAGTCCCTGGCCACGTTTGGTTCTGGTTCCCGTAAAGCTATGCATACGATGCCGAATAAACAAAAGGCGAGACCCGATGTGTGTCTGATGGGTGAGGCCGTCATGATCAGCGCAGCTTTGGTGAAAACAGACCCCAAGCCGGCCAAATGACACAGACACAATCCAAGGTCGACTGACTGCACCGGTCAAGTCAGCAGGTCATCAGGCCAAAGAGAGTTCAAAACGAAGTAGAACATTGCCATCATTGTCGTGAAAACGCCTACAATGGTCACAAAATGTTCCAGCACAACTCTAGAGCCCTGAGCCTGTCGCGGCACCCGCGGGACGTCTGGGTGTTCATCCGAAAGAGCGAAAATGCTAGGGAGTGGGACACAGCAGCATACAGTATCCAGTACAGCCCACGAGAAGAGAAGCACAAAGAAAGTGAAAGGCGCGGCGGAAGCTCTCCATCTTCCCCGCACACAGCGTGGGTGCTCGTACACAAGGAACTCGTACATTCCACGGGCAGTGTATACAAGATGGATAGCTCGCATGTCTTGGACCCCTTGGTGGTACAGATGCAGGCTTCTCTTATACAGAACATTCACCGCTGCTGTTGCTGGCTTTCCGTTCGAGACCAAAAAAGGTACTTAACACCGTCGTTGGTGAGAAACAATTATTGTAGCGAAAATTCACCTCGAGAAGGGCGGCCTTGACGTCCCCCCCGGGGTTCAGCGCCACCGGATCTCCCGCTCGCATCAAGACCTTGCCCAATCGCACCCGACCGGACAGGGCTTTCATCGTCCACCTGAATAATCATCACCATCATCACCATCATCATCATCATCCCCATCACGATCAGCATCAGCATCAGCATCAGCATCAGCGTCAGCGTCAGCGTCAGCATCAGCATCAGCATCAGCGTCAGCATCATGCGACGAAGCGAACCACGTCGAGTTCCACAGAACCGTGTCAAATAAATTCGCCCCAAGACGAGATATTCATGAGTCGGCGAACCACATCACCCATCACAGAAGCACGTCTAAAAGTCTTGCACTAGCGAGACTTCGAAGGTCGCCAAGGGTTGTTTCTAACGTAGTCGCAGCGGTCGATTCGATAGAGGGAGCCAACCTCCTACATTTACTGCATATGTTTGCACCGGTTGGTATTTTTGGCCATGGTTCCGTCGGAGATCCGTGTCTTTCTCCAAAACGTCAAATGGGCGATAGTTTGTGTTTCGTTCTGGGATAAAGTACCAGGCCACGCGATTCATCCATATACTTCTCTTCGGACCGATGCTACGCCACCTAGAAAACGGTAAGGTTTGAAAGACGATTGAACGTCTTCCAATCCAGTTAATCGGAAAACGATTCTGCAGAAAGATTGTCAATTGTGTGGTACAAGACACAGGATGCCAACAACGCAGGTCTTTGTTCTTAACCGCGCTTCTGATGCGCTTGAATCAACACTACACTACATACAGCACGGTAGCACCGTCTTCTACGAGCTAGTCAAAATCAGCAAAACGTTTGTAACCGCTGTTGGATATCTTCTGCTCCTTCGTTCGTTCGGAAGAAATTTGCAAATTCACTCCTTCTGCATGAAGAAGATGTGCGAAAGCAGGCAATCTCCGCTCTGTATCACCGATACCTCTACACACCGTCTATTCCCGCCCTGTCGCATAGAGCGCGTTCAAGTCGCAGAAAAATGCGTTCTGGCCCAGAGCACGTGCAAAAACAGTCACAACTCCACTCACACATTACGTTTCCCTCTCCCGTTCACCTCAACAGTCCCGTCAGGCCGACCGCCCCCACGGTGTGCTGTCCGCGCGCCGGAGCCCCCCCCTCTCCCGCTTCTCGAGAGCAACCCCTGGCTAACAGCTCCTCAGCTAGTCTTCGCTGCTCCGGTACCCGCTCGTAGCTGATCGACACAGGCACCAGCCAAAGCGTCGCGCCCTCCCGTGCTCCCTAGACCGGAAATACAGCCGCGACAACGGGGGGGGGGTACTCATTTTTTTGCATGCCTTAGGCGATAGACCGTTGACCGCGCGACCTCGAGAAGATGGAGCAGAGAACGGGGGTGGGGAGGTACAACAGTTGGGAAAACAGTTGGGGAAGGGTGCGTTCGAAACGGCACCGTCGTCGGCATCCCCGTGCGTGGTACTTACGCGATGTCATCTCGTTCAGGCTTGCTTCAGGGCACCCATCTCGTCACCGTTGGTAGCCGTACGAGTAGCAAAACGAATACAAGGAGTAGCAGTGCTGTAGCGAGGGCACTTTCTTAGCCAATCCGTGGATAATGGATGGGTTGACACACGATACACACCACCATCACACCAGCCAAAGAGGCCTTCAACGGGATCCACGTACATCACATCACGGACAGAAGAAAAAAAAACACCGAGACCGTCGATGGGTTCCAGTTCCCAGACAAACCAAATAATACATCTCATGCACAGCCAAGTTTTAGCAAGACTCTAGTACAGCTGACCGTTACGTTTGGTTTGACATTAATGGCCACCACCTCCAGCGGAGAAGTTTCCAATGGATGGAGGCGAAGTTGGGCGATCGAGATCGAACCCCAGGCGGCATCTCTGACAGTCGTTACTGCACAAACACACACAACAAAAACACTCATACTACGTGCGGCACAACATTCACATGCACGGAACGTAGGTGCCCACCTGAAGAGCTCGGATCAACCCCGTCTTGGGAGCCAGAAACCGCCTGTCCCGGCTGCGTGTCCCCTCCACGAACACCTCCAAGGTCTCCAGCCCCCTCTGGCAGGGGTCGGACTCGCAGGGACCCGGCCAGCGTCCACCACCCCCACCCCCACCCCCACCCCCGTCCGCGGACCCCCCAACGTTGCCATCAGACGCTGCTTGGGGATGATGGCCTCCTACGCGCTCGTTACCGCTCGTGTCTCGAGAGTCACCTGCCACGTCTCGGGTCACTGCCGTGCCGTCACACACGATGCCCTGCTCTCCCGAAGGAACTTTCTGGGAAGTTTCTCCTTCGCCGCTGGCGACTTCCTGCAGCGCCTCGAGGCGCCGCCGGAGGTCAGAGTGCGGCTCGCTGTTGTGCCCCCTCCGAATGAAAAACGCCCCTGGTTTCGTGGCGGTAATATCCAGACGCGACGAGACAAGTATTCCCACACAGCAGTCAACCAGCCAGCTGGAGTTTGGGCTGTTAATTGATTCCGCAGATCGTCATGTGTACAGCACGGTAAAGAGGAAAAAACGAGGACCCCCCCCAAAAAAAATGAACGATCCGAGCACATTCTTTAAGAACGACACATTTTTCTACCTAGAATCACCAAACACCGCCCCCCGGAGTCCAACCTCGACACCATCATAGCTCACCCAATTTCCCCATGAGCCACCTGAGCGGCGTACCGTCCTTGCCGAAGGGCCCGTCCGCCGCCGCCACCTTCGGCACCCTGAGCCACGACAGCCCCGGGAAGGACCGCATGGAGGCGCAGAAGAGGGACACCAGCACGAAGTCAAGATACGAACGGTGAGTAGGCAGCAGGACAACCACCATCTTCCCGGCCCCGTCTGCTTCTCCGCTTCCCGCCCCTGCGCGCCCTCCGCACCCGCCGGCTCGCCAGCCGTCCCCACCGTCAGCACCGGCCGCAGTGGCACCAGCAGTACCTTTCTCGCCGCCGCCGCCGCCGCCGCCGCCGCCGATGTAACCACCGTCGCTGCCACACCCGCCGCCCGCCGCCTTACTGTCAACACTGGGCGCCGTCGCCGCGCCGTCTTCCTTGACCCCGTCGCCTCTCGCGGACCCCGCCCGGCTTGCGCCGCCCGCCGCAGCACCGTACCCGGGGGGCGCGGCCTCGCGAAACGAGTCCACGTCCACGGCGACCGCCGAAGCGGAGCGGGACATGACCACTCGGACGGCGAACGCCACGAGCCGCACCCAGAGAGTGACCCCTCCTCGCGCCGCGGACCCCGGGAGGGTGGCCGCCCACCACGCTAGGGCGGGCCACGGTACGAGGCGGTCTGCCCTGCCGCAGAGCACGCTGAGCGACCGCCGCCGCCGTCGCCGCCGCGTGAGCCAGTCGCCAGCACCACCGACCCCGTCATCGTTGTTCTTCTTGGCGGTGGCACCGTTTGTTTCAACGTCATCGCCGTTGTGACCAAGGGGACGCCCACCGTCGCCGCCGTCGCCGTCTTCTTCTTCTTCTTCGCCAACGGCGACGCGGTTACCCTCAGGGGCGCCACCGACCTGCAGGCTGGTTCCGGTGTCGTTGCCGCGACCGCCGCACCGAAGACCGCCGGACCGGTGGGTGCGTATTTGCAGGCCCAGCTCTCTGAGGATGGACTGCCGGCGTTCGGGACTAGCCTTTGCCCCTTCTTCGGCGCCCCCGGGTCTGGGAATACCGCACGCCGGGGGTGCGAGGAGAACAAGAGGCCAGACGCAAGGAGCAACAGCAAGCAAGCAATCGATGATAACATGCGCGAACGAAGAGCAAGCGTCACCCTTTGGTATGGTAAACACGCATGCGAAACAACAAAAATATGAAACAATTTTATCGTATCGCGCCGATCGGCGTGGCGAGGGGGGAGAAGGGGTTTGACTGCGGGTCGAAACGCGAAAGGATTGAAAGGGTGCAGCGACGTCACGTCAGGGGTGAAACATGGCGCACTGTTCTCAACGCACGACCGCGCAGCATGCAAACCAAAACACGGAGATGCCGGGCCAGGAGGACAACAACAGCAACAACGAGCGGCGTCATGGTGCGCCATCTGGGTTGTATCCATCCCTGTCAGGGCAGTCTACAGGAGCCTTGGGGAGAGGGATCGTTTCCTATCCTTGTGGCTCCACCTCGGAACGAGTGCCATACATGCTAAAATAGCAGACACAGAGGTACCACGAACAAGAGGCACGACCGTGTCACAGTATAGGTGGGCAAAAAAAAAACAAGACGCCAACGGCAGTAGTGTCGAACCGATCCCAAAAAAACGTACCACACCGTAACACGACACCACATGAGAAAAACCACTCACAGGCTCCGTTGCAGTAGCTCGGAGGCCAGGGCCGTTTCCAACGCATACCCGGCAGGCTTCAGCCCCTCGGGAACCCTTAGCGCCGAGTCGAAGAAGTACTCCTGCCACGTGAACGTCTCGTACACGGCCGGCAGGGCGGCCAGCTTGTCGAGCCTTCTCAACGTCACGGTAATTCCTGTGCGTCGCCGCCCACCTCTGCCACGGCCGCCGCCGCCGCTGCCGCCGTGTCTATAGCCGCTGCTGCCGCCGAAGACGCCAACCCGCTCGGCCAGGGCAGCGAGGCCCTGCAGCGCCCACACCGGCGACCGGTCGAGCAGCAAGTGCATGGCGTCGAACGCCAGCCGCGGCAAAGACGGTCTCAACCCTCCTCCACGAAGGAGTAGGAGCCCCGCTTCACGCCTCCCCTGGAAACCCCCGTCGCCGGCGGTCGGAGGATTGCCCCGTTGGCCTTCACCGCTGCCCCCTGACGGCGACGGCGGGTACGGCGACTGCGGGCGCGACCGTGACGACGACAACCCGCCGCCGCTTGTATCACCGCCGCCGGCGACGCACGGTGTTCCGGGCGCCGTCGCCGCCGGCGACGACACCGACGCCGCGGCGAAGGAGGATCTCATCGCCAGGGCTTCCAAGGAAGGCCGCATGCCGCGGAGGACGGCGTAGTCGTAGAGCAGCCCCGAGATCTCTCGGAACGACGGCATCCTCCCTTCCCCCGCACCGCTCCCGACTGCACCCTTGCGCTCAGCAGTCCGTCCGGCCACCACGGCCGCCATGCCGCCACCCTCCTGCGCAGCGTCGCCACCGCCGACTGTCGTGTCGCGCTTCCGAGCAACGATAGCGCCGCTACCGCCGAGACCGAGGACAGGGTGCGTCGCCCACGCCAAGTTCCTGATTACCACGTCGGGACGAGATTCTGCCGCGGGCGACCCCGGGATGTCCGGGATCGCCGCCATGATATTCCCGGTGGCGGCGGCGGGAGAGGAGGATGCTAGGGGCCCTCCCCAGCCAAGCGCGCTGTGGACGATCGCGCGGCTGACGACATCGACCGGGATGATCGGGGCCGGGTGAGGGCCTAGCCGGAAGGTCTTGACGGCCCTCTGGAGAACCAGCACTTGGCAGCCTGTTCAAGTAAGCGCACACGCACATGTCAGCCGCGGGCATTTTCAGCGAACGTGGAACTTGAGGCCGGTGGAAAGTTGGTTACCGGCGTCACTCATGTCATATCTATCCCCTGGGGCGCATTCTGTCCGCGGATCTAAACGAAGCGCAAGCACAGCCCGGGGCAGCGTTGACAACCAGCGGCCATGGAAAATTAAACGGAGCCCCCTCTGGGAAGCGACGCTAGGGGACTTCATCCCCGAGGTGAGATAGACGGAGGGCCGATGGAGGAGGTTATATTTGGGGGGGAAGCAAAGGGGTCTCGGACACGAATTCTCGTGCATGATCCCCTCACCTGAGATCAAGGGGGATAAATAAGCACGTGTACCCTGCATGAAGGGTGCATTTCCTGCGTCGTGCGGGCTCAGCTTGACCTGACTTATCACATGGTGGGGAAGGTTGACATTTTTCCGGACACCTTTTATACCCCGGCCGGAGTGTGTGTGTGTTGCAGCGGGAGCGTTTTTCCTGGGAGTCATCGCCTCGGCATACGGCATACCTAGCGTGGCAGCTCTTGCCTGCCGCCATTGTTTAGGGATCCGATAAGCAACTCATCCGGCAGTGCAAAGCGCCAAGATATACCCTCGAAGTCCTGGACTCGGGTCGCCAACCGGAGACGCAAGGGCCTGTACAATCAACCGTTACGGGACGGGGGCTCCCCAAAACCCCTTCGAAGCGCTGAACGAGTTAGAATACTATAGAGAGCAGATCTTTCTCCACTCAAAGATCTGCTGTCTGTAGTATTTTAGCTCGTTCGGCGCTTCGATGGGGTTTTGGTAAGCCCGCGGCCCGTACCGGTTGAACCAAATGGAGAGGTCCGCGGGTCTCCGGCTTGCGGACCGAGTCCAGGGCCTTGGATGCATCTCTTGGTGTTTCGCACTGCCCCTGGAAGAGCTGCTTTATCGGATTCCGAAACGATTGAGGCCGACAAGAACTGCAACAATTCATTGTCTCCAGCGCACTCTCTCAGCGACGACTTGTGGTTACTATTTTCCCGCTCACACGCATGACGTCAAGCGCCATCCATCACCCTGGCCTTTCTCCCCCAAACATGCCACCCCGGTACAAACACAATCCCGGCACCCCCCCACCCCGGCGGCTCACCTGTAACTGTCGAGGGTTGCTCTCCCGTCCACCCAGGCCACGGGAACACCCAGGCCGGTCCAACGATGCTCGGCCGCACTACCCTCAGCCGCAGTCGGCAAGGTTCCGGCGAACCACAAGAGTCGCCACTAGAACAACCGCGCCCGCCCGCCGCCAGCCGCCCTCCGGCCTCATCATCACCGCTCTCCTCGACATCGGCAGCGGCGGCAGCGGCGGCCGACCTGTCCAGCCTCCGATTGTGCGCGCTCAGCGCCCGCACAAGCAGGTGCTCGCCGAGAGCCTTCGTAAAGGTGTACGTGTTCGGGTACCCCAAATCCGCCATGGCGTCGAGGGCTTCCTTTCCCGCCCCGCCGCCCCCGCTGCTACCTCCGCCGGCGTCTGAAGCTGAGGGGGCCCGCTGAGCGCTTCGGTACAACCGTTCGGGGCTTCTGCCGCCAAGATCGGGGAGCTCTTGGGGGAGGGGGCACGAAGCTGTGCCCGACTTTCCGCCGTGGACGAAAGCGGTCGAGACGTGTATCAACGTCCTGGGGGTGGTGTGGTGTGCACGCGCGGTGGACGGGGGAGGGGGGTCAATCAGGCAATCGCATGCCGTAGGCGGTAGACCCTAGACCTCGACATCTCCACAACGCCGGTACGCAATGGTTTTCGCCGGCCCGGCCAATACCGCATAAACAACCCTCATGCCCTATCCAGCCACCGAATGAAAGCCGAGGGACGGCAGTGTGGTCAGCGACGTTGACAAAGCGTGTTGATTGAATCGCCATCGTGGATGGATCTCGGGTGCGGTACCACTTGGCCTCGCTCTCCCCTCTCCCATCTTGATCGTTCCGTCTACACGCCAGCAGGACGATTTTGTCTAGAAAGGGGTCTGGGGCGGCCGCATGACAGTAAAAATGGTGGTGCGCCACAAGCTCCAAGATCGTGTCACAGTAGTACACAGATTAACACTTGTCCTCGCTCATGACTATGTACCTTCAGGTCCAGCAACGGCAGCTAGGCTAGCCACAGGGACGTGGATCATAGTTCATGTGTGTGAGCGTACTTCTTGCAATGCGAATTGGCTCGGCGCTAGGCTCTTTATGTACCATATGTGTCCTTGCGGCGCCCGTTCCCCCTCTTCGGCGATGTGACACGCCGGACCCGTTCAGAGCACAACAACAACGATCTTGAGCTTGAGCGTACGACTCAAAAACGAAAACAGTGCACGGGTTACGTCCCAACCCCTCAACCCGCGATGCCACCCAAGAGCTTGCACTCGACCGCTGCTGCACGACCAACCTCAACAAGAGCTACCATCTCACCCGCATGACGGCCAGGACGCCACGAGGGCGGCCACCCTCAGTGCACCGGTAACGTTCGTCGCCGCCGCCTCCGCGAGGGGGTCGCTGAAGCTCACGCTCGCGGCGCAGTGCAGCGCGTGGGTCACGCCGGCTCCCGCCAGCAGCGCCCGCGACTCCGCCGACAGCCCCAGCCCTTCTCCGCCCAGCTCGCCTTCTACGGCGATGACCACCGCTCCCTGCCGCTTCTTCGGCGGGAGACCAAGGGCCTCACGGGACGGGGGGCACGGCAACGGCGACGCTCTCGCCGCGGAGGGAGTGTCGGTCTCTTCGTCCACCCAAGCCCCGCTCTCTCGCAGGGGGCGGAACATGGCGCTGTCCCTTATGGAGGCCAGTCTGTCCGAGGGGGCCACGCCCTTCTTGCCCCTTACCAGGACCACCACCGCGCGGAGCCCCCCCGACGCCACCCCTCCCAACCCGTCTTCGCCGCCGCCAAGACCTTCGCGGGCCTCGCCGTCGTCGCCCGAAGCACCGCTCGACGCCGCGGCTCCCTGCCGAAGCAGGTCGAACAGAACCATCTGCCCCACCAACCCTGTGACGCCCGTCAGGAACACCACCGCCCCGCTACCCTCGGCCGCCGCCGCCGTCGCCATTGACCCCCCGTTCACGCTGCCACACCCTCCTCTGACGCCATTCCCCGCGTCGGGCATCAATCGGGGGGCGCAGAAGTCCCGCGACGCCCGCGTGCCCGGCCTGAACAGGTACCCGACGGGGTCGTCATCCACGCACGCCTCCTCCGGTGGAAACTCCTCGGATATCCCGCCGCAGTCGTCTCCGCGGCGGTTGCTGCTAGTGCTACTGCTGCCGTCGCCGCTATCTCTCCCCGCACGTTCACCGGGTCCGAGAGCTACCCCTGCCGCCGCTGCTGCTGCTGCTGCTGCTGTTGCGCGAGACAGGGCCTCGGGCACGACCGGACTCTGGGCGAAGATCTCTTCTCGCCATCGCGCCACGCGCACCGCGCACCACAGGCACCCGGCCCCTGCCGCCGCCGACAGAACCCAAAACAGCACAACAGCGGTCAAAGCTCCCCACCAAGCACCCAGTACCTGCCAAACGCTTGGCCAACCAGGGGAAGGAGTGTTTTCCTCTTGCACTTCGAGTGCCCCCCGATCTCCCCCGCGGGCCAGAGCGACCACGACGGCTAGCGCCACGGCGACGGCCACCTTCCCAACGCCGACGGCACTCGCCCCCGGCCCTGCCGAGCAAGAACGTTCCGCAGAACGACGATCATCCATCTGTCCCGCCTGTCCGCCCTCCGCATCTCTCCCCGCCCGCCGTCGGAGTCGCTCCGTGCTTCGTTCCCCCGTCCCTCTCGTAGCCGCTGTCGGCTCCACGTGTGGACTGGCGAGATCAAGATCCCCACCACCACCACCGCTGGTGCTGCTGCTGCTGCTGCTGCTGCTGCTGCTGCTGCTGCTGTTTCTATTACTGCTGTCGACATGTCGCGGAGCCGACACCTCCGCTTCACCACCATTGCCTGCTGCTGCTGTCGCTGCTGCTGTTGCTGCTGTTTGAGGTTGCCGGTCGACATCGTCGTGTTGGTCGTAATTGCTCGCAGCCTCCCCAAAGCCAGCCGCTGGCGCGGGAGTGACGTGAGCGTCGGTAGGGAGAGGGGGATGAGCCATGCGTTGTGCTCGATGGCTGTGCAACTCTAGATACCACCGTAGTGAGCTTTGTGCAATACTTCGGTGGCGCCACACTGCAGCTTGGAAGGAAACATGGTCTCGCGTAAAGCAACAACCAAACACCGGTCAATACAGCATAAGACGATGCTGCCGCTAGCAATGCCGATTGGCTTCGATGCGGGTGCCTACCGCCTTGAATAGGTCTCCAATTCTTCAACTGCGCAACGATGAGAGGTGCACGACGGAGTACTAAATACGTGCGGGGCGATGTCTGCCGGCCGACCATACGTTTTTCGCCCTCCCTGCCCCCTGTCGGACCGGCTAACTAATATTTTTTGCCATGTTCGTGTTCTTGTTTCGCCAAAAGCGCATCGATCTGACATACGGTCAGTACCTCCGCCTTCCATACCACATTACATAGTCCCACCAGCGAAACACCAAATGCTGACGTGGTGATCGTAACCCACTCGACCAAGGTACCGACAAAGGCAATAGAAAAAAAGGCGAAAGCAGTCAACAAAATCGCGGCGAAGAAACGAGCTATTGTATCTACAAACACAATACGAGTGACGCCACAAGACTAAGAGACCGATGTTTCCTCCCCCTTTCCGTTTGTGACCAGTCTCTATACCGGTGGCTGCTCACCTCTGTTCTCAGGACACACAGCATCGGCTACCCTGCAGTACCGCTGCATGGCCTCCGATACTCCAAGCCCTTCGCACGACTTCCAAGAATTCCTGCGCGAGTGGGGTGCGGGACGGCGTTGTGATGGGGTTGAGAGAGAGGTGGTGACTGCGGCCGGGGCGGCGTGTAACGCGGGGTTTGTCGAGCATGCTGGCGACGGGGGGACGGCGTCATGCACACCACGGGGACCCTACCCTAGAGTCATCCCTACCATCAATGAGGTCCCACGTCCATCGGTATGTCTTATGTCTTACGACCGAGCGTCTACAACAATGCCGGCCCGTCCCTTCTCCCTGAACGGCTGCAGTGTATTCATTGACAGAGAACTCAAACAGGGACAACGCGACCACAACAGAGAGCCCCCAATACTTGCCCCCCCCGCCGACAAACACACCACAACTGCGAGTGTTGGCATGGGCAGAAGGTATGTAGAACAGCACACCATAGTTGACATTTGACTTTCACGTGTAAACGCAGTATGACTGCAAACCCATACCCCTTTTTCTTGTGAGGTGTGACGTGCACGAACCGCAACACCTACGAGCACTTCTTGGGGGCTACTGAGGTGCGGCCCCACAAGAGCCGTTCAGAAAACGCGTCCTTCTGAAAAGCAAAAGCACTTGGGGGTGCCGGCTGGGTATGTAGAACTAATGACGATGGTTTGTACATCCGGGAGCACACACACCGCTCCTGGGAAGACGCTCGGCTAAAAAAAACGCCCGACAAACAGCCATAACTCCACACACAACACACAGCCGAAGCATTAACTTGACGACACATTGGCTTCTCAGACAGGGCAAACGGTTCAGAGTGTTGTAGGGGTGTAAAAGCTGCGCTATGAGCGGAGCACTCTGCTCACCACTTGGCTCGTCCGGTGGGATCGAAGAGACCAGGCCGTTGCGAGTGGCAGTCACCGAAGGAAGCCTGCTTGTACAGCCCGTACAGAACGAGTTGCTGCGCACGGCAGAGCCGCGGCGGCGGAACCGGAACCGGAACCGGCAGCGGCCGGGGGGGGGGGGTTACCAGATGCGAAAAACCATGTCACCTCTAGAACCAATGAAGTCGTGCAGCACTTGAAAGCGACCTCTTGCAGTTCTCCCCACTTCCTAATTCCTATTTCGTGTTGTGGCCCCGACCAAGCGGAAGTACTAAGCATTGCTGCGGCGAGTTAGCCCTGAAAAAACTAGCGTCGTGAGCTGCTGCTGGATGATGCTACAGGGTGCCTACACTTCCTGTACATTGCGCACCGCGCACAATTTATTGCAGCATGATCGTGAAAGGCAGCATATCGCGTTTAAGGAAACACTCTACGCCACTATCCAGTAACCCTGTGACCTGCGCCACGATGAACCTCAGGTCGGTGTTCAGACTTCAAAGGCACCTTGGTTTTCTCTATGCACCTGACTGACGAGAGTGCAAACCGACTAAGGGGTAACACCGACTGCTACATGTTGATTGCGAACTTGTTCGTGTTCTCTTTTGACCTTGGGGAAATCGTTGGTCAGAAAGAACAAAATGTGCAGCGAGATTTCTTCCGGTTCAAATTTCACGCTCACATCTTGAGTCCCGACTGCCGGACCGGTCCACCTGCTCACTCGCCCAACGGTCGCCTCGAAGAGCTGCTGTATCGACCGACCAGTTCCATTCTCGGTCTTGGCTTGTGGCGGAGCCGTGCCACCAGCACTTCTCCTCTGGTGGAAGCAATAAAGAGCAGAACCCCAGGACCAACGGAGAAGCGATACGATCATCGAAAAGGCTGTATCAGGTCTCAAAACGTCGTGTAGACAGGAAGGCGTCGGTGTCTGGGGAAATCGATCACGACACTCGAGAGAAGTGCAACTAAAGCTGTCACAGGGCAAAAGTACTGTAGTCTAGAGCTGTAGAGCGGTAGGGCGATTTTTCGGCAGAAACGTTCACGGTGCTTGTGTGGCGGATGAAAGGTGGCGTTGCCCACACGTGAGACCGTTTAGTGTGAGCTGTCGATTGCAACCGTTTTATAGCTGGCATGTCCGGTGCCCTGCACTTTTCATCAACGCCTCGCAGTACAGCGTAGTTTTCTTGTCCCGCACCGGAGTCGCAAAAAGCCTCATCTATCTGTAGGTTGATAACATTACGGCAGACTGCATCTTAGCGCTACCGCCGAAACCTTCGGCTCGATGACAAGAGAAGAGGCACAGGTTGTTGCGCACGCAGGCTCTCTCTCTCTCTCCCTCTCTCTCTCTCTCCCTCCGCAGCACCTCTCGTAAACGTTTTATTATTTTTTATTTTCTCACTATGACCCAACGAATCCATCTCTATCTAAGAAAAGAGTCAAAGATAGATTAGCAATGAATCCATAGCGTCAGCGAAAATTCTGTTTTCCCACGAGTCCCGAGCAGCACATACGTCGAGTACCTCCTGGAGACAACATTATCCAAAGGAAATGATGTGGTAGGCCTGGCTCTCTCTGCCTCTGAGTCGAAACACAACATTTCCTACCATAGAGGGGATAAGGCTAGCGAGTGGTCCTACTTGTCGGCTAGCTAGATAGCACGCATCGGTTCTCGGTTTGGTTTGGAGAAAGGGGCTGTTGGGCTGTTGGGCGGCGCGCCTGTCCGCGGATTACTTGCAATCATGTGCCGGGAGTGAGATGCCGCTCTCTGGTCTCTCATACGACAACGGCAAAGATCAATACCGCCCGGTGTATTCGAAAAAATGCCTCTGCGAGAGCTACGCCGAACTGTTCGCACACCCCGCTTACACAGCAGCAACGCACCGCAGCAAGGGTGGGCAAGGTGTCACGCATGAACACGCGATTGATTCCACAGGGAAAATCATCGCGCGGCGGATTGTGAGGAGGAGGTTCGAAAGCTTCCGAAAATGTTCCACGCATCTCATCGGGCGTTTGGGAATACTCGGCAGCATACGAGCGTCACCCTACAACACGCCCCACACCTGCGCGGGATAAACCAGAGAGCTCGGCTACCTGGTTCAGTGGCTCTGGTGTCTGCCTAGGGCTCATACTGCGGTGGCAGTGCTTACACGCACAGCAGGCGTGAGAGAGGAAGCCACAACGAACAGCAGTCGCCCCTAACTCATCCCACACACCTCTTGAGACATCACAGACAGTAGTTCTTCCTGCTGGTGCCGTCGAACGCCCGCGTAGCAGCTCCTGTGTAGCCACCAAGCTTTGGTCTCCCCCTTTTAAAACCCTCGCATCGACACACAGCAGCGTGCTCTCGCTCCGGCTTCCGAACAACAATGTGAGACCGGGAGCCGCTCTTTGCTCTGTTCGCCAAAAAAGCGGGGGAACTGCTGTGGCCAGGGGATGCCCTCCTTTCATCCCCGGGATACGGCGGGAGGCATGATTATTACACCAATGTTGCCGTTGAGCTCAACATCCGCAGCGTGCACATACAACAAGTATTTTTTATTTTTTTATTTTGGCGACAGTCCCCGCATTTTACGTGGCGAGACGGGTACTATACACTTTCCAGTGTGTGTAGAGTACTACACTTTTCAGTGTATTTGTTCGTACAACTACGACCATCCAGGGTCACACAGGAGGGGATAAACACCGGGTTTTTTTAAGCTTATTTTATTTTCATGCCCCTTTCCTCCTGCGGTGCGTGCTGAAGGTTGCTTTTTATCGCGAGAAGGGTCCAGCCGTCCTTTTTTCCCTCGTCGACGATGCTAGCGTCGAAGTTTGGTACTCACGAGAGTTTTGCAGCTTTGTCCACTTTCACCCGCAAAGTTGAAAAAATTTCGCCCCATGGGGATTCGAACTCACGACTTTGCCACGAGCGGTTCCGAGGTTATACCACTACACAGACCACCGGGGCGACCGGCAGTGAGTAGACAACTAAAAAAAAAAAACATAACGGCGGCGTGTGGCGGCGTCTACATGAATAATTTACATCGGAATTTTACATTGCAAGTTGTAGATGATCTACTCTCCAACCGGATGTGAAAGACGACACCGGATGAGACGGCTGAGAGCGTTTCGTGCTGCACGGGGAATATTCAAATAGTCCACCGATTCGTCTTTTCGTAAAAACTCTCCACGAGACGTTCCAACTCCTCTCCGCCATCTTCCGCACCGTCGCAGTTTTCGCTGCAGACCAATCGAGCTTTGATCATCGGTCCAGGGGGTGTCTTACGCCACTACGGTACACACTAGAACTGTAGTCTCAGGTGATGCTGAAATTGTTCTCCTTAAAACATCGCGCAACCCACATTTATTTTCGGTCATGTAGATGTATGATGTACCAAAACGCCTTGCTTGTTCGTTGGTTCGTCCCTTTCTCGCTCTCCATACCACACCCGCCCCTTTTTTCCTCTCCTCCTCCGCCACAACAAGATTTTACGAAAATGCATGGAGATTACTACCGCCCACATGTACCGTTGCTGGCATACGAATGGATACCACGGTACAGGCATTTAATACTCCTGTGAAATTGAGACAACCGTGAACAGAACGCGGTATGGAATTAAATCAGACCCAAAAATCATGCCCGAAATGACCACAGGCGAACGCCACCGAACACACCACATCATCAAATCAATGGCATCACCCACCCCGCCCTCCTCCGTTCATAGGTCCGCTGGTGGATAAAATCAGGCCAAACCTAAATCACACAATCAAAACACAGTACATCTACAGTCTACAAGGTAGCCTACCTCACAGAAGACATACAACGAACATTCCATGTGTACAAAAAAATGAGCCCATGCATAATTAGACACGATGCGATAATAGGACCGCAGCTAAAATTCAACCAACCTGTGTATGATATGCTGAAACAAGGAACCAGGCCGAAGAGGCTGTGGGTTCTGTTGTTGCTCGAAGGCTGCGCATACTGTTGTGCTGGCAAACACCACACAGGTTCCCACTACCCGCGTGCATGGATGTGCTCGGGCGAGGACCAGCCAACCCCCCCCCTCCCCGGGGTAAAAATGTAGGGTGCAGATGCCAAACTAGCAAGACAACAGGTTTTGTGGCACGCAATTCTCTGATTGGTCAACACGCCTGCGGCGGAATTGCAAAAACCAGGCACGACCCAAGATCCTTGGACGATGGGTGGCGCATACCCCCCCCCCCCGCCCGCCGCTTTCCTTTGTCAAGCTCGTCCAAAAACCAGTGTCGTGGTCTTGCGGCACATCAGCAGTGACGACAACAACAACAGAACAGAGAATCGTTCAAGCCGTCCGCCAAAATAAACCGCCAGTACCTCGCCTTTCCCGTACCCCGCCGCCCCTCCCCCTAGAAAAAACTGGCAAAAAGCACACCACTCCCCGCCAGGAGCGTTGCCCGCATTCGCCCACATGCACACGTTCCTCAAATCCACAACAGGACCCCACTAGTCCAAATGATGCCACGAGCTGCCCAAATACCCCTGGGCAGCAGACCCCAATCAGGCACCCAAGCGGTGGGAAACAGCACAAAAGCCCTGCGTAGTGCTGCCTACTACTACTGTATCATACCTTCTTTTTCTTGCCGCGTTCCGCTTGTTACCCATCGCTCGAAATTTCCAAGTACCTTAACGCCAGTCAGTCCTCTCCCGGAATCCTATCCGGAGTCATACCACGGAGAAGAATAATCCCCCTGAACGCGCATGCCTTGCTCGTGTTTAATGAAGGTATACATAACGTCAACCATGGTCTATCGCGACCAGCAGGGTTCAGCCGCCGCCCTCGCCCTACGCTCACCTACAATGTGCCACCTACAAACAAGCACTGCGGGAGTGTAGTAGGTGCGACACGCAGACCTACCACACGCCTCGCCTGGGTTCGAACTCCCGACATAGCCATCACACAATTTTCGAGGTCGCACACCACCTGTCTACGCCACCGGGGCGACTGGCTCATCGTATGAACAGCAAATCCCTGCGTAATGCGGGCTGATACTCACTTGTTAAAAAAAAAGAGGAAAACAAAACGAAGGTTCCATGTAGCGCTATCTGCTATTGCTAGAGAAAGGAAGACGGCGTAATAAGCCCTGCAAAGCACAGCTGTCTACGACTACAACAGTAAAAACAAGCACGGATAACATGTCCCCTCAAATAAACAAGGAAAAAAATGCATGGATCTATTGCGCGGGAGTACTTTCTGTCCGGAATGTCACGGAGTTGTTCCGGGGCAACGCCCACTATCCCGCCAAGTCGCATTGTTCACTCGCGGCTTGATGCCAGCACCACCATCGAAAAAACACAAGCCGAAAACATGTACCACCAGAATGTCTAAAACAAGGACTCGTGGAATGCACTATACTCTCCTTCTCCACCGAAAAACAGGCCATACTCTTGTTTTCGCGGGCGCCTCCGCCAACAATATCCCCATTGCACTCGGCCTCCATCACAAGCACGTCCTCCGACAGAGCCTATCATGGTCCATACACCACGCTTCCGACCAGCCGCCCGTCCGACTCAGGCCTTCAACACCAGCGTCCTGCTCGTAGACGCACTAGCGACCACAACAGCTGCTCCAGCCGCCAACCAATCATCGACCCATCTACGGATCCTTCCGCTGGATGGACCGGACCGGTCGGGCGACGGCGTCCCCGCAGACAGCCGCACCATCGCCAGCCATATCACCGAGATCCTTGCTGAGCGACGGCTACGCTAGCTCCCTCGAGCTCAACTATTCTGGGCGACCGCGTGCGAAACACGAAAGCCACCGCAGACCATATCGCACACACACACGCCTCCGCCCCACGATATACGGTGCCCCCATTCCCGAACCACGCGCTTAGCCCGTCCACTCGTATCACCCCCCCTGTCCTTTCTCGGCGGCCAGGGCGAAATCGCCAAACGGCGGTTTCTATCGATTGGAGTTCTACCCCGCTCTCTGTGTCGAATCGAACATCACCACAAAACCCCGCGTTGAGGACGCTTGGAGCAATTGCCCGGTGCCATTGCCACCCCTCCCCCGATCTCCGCCTCCAGATCGCAGGGAGGATGCGGCCAGTGGTCCCCCACGATGCCCTCCGGGTACTCGTCGTCTGAATCGCTGCTGCCGCCGCCGCTGTCCGCCTCGTTTGTCGTCGCCGTCAGCAGCCGCTTCTGCCGTTGCGGCGAGACGGCAGCGGTTTCAGCAGGCGGCGCGGTAGCAAGTGGAGGTGGCGCCGGTCCGTAAGGCTGGTCGTTCTTCATGTTCTTGTCGACCGCTGTGTGTGCACGACAAGTGGTGGGGGAAGTGACGCGAGACGGCTGGTTAACGTTAATGCGAGCAAAGGGCAAGGCGCGGAACGTGCCAAGCGTGATATCATTCGTATACAGCAACATCGTCGTTGTTGGGTAGCTTGACATTAAAACAATTCTGACTTGTATCCTGTGCCTCCTCCGCGCTCCTAAATATCAAGAAAGGAAGAGGCTTCTCGTGGGTACAGGGTAGCGCACGATGATGTGCAACAGACAAATAAAAGGTACAAGAGAAAAAATAAGCATGCACAAGATACGGTGCGAAAGACGGGGGAATGGTGCCGCGCTACAGATGGTCCAAATACTCTTCGAATAAGTCCAGACCAGGGTACGCAAAGAAATATAGACAAAGGTCTGGAAAAATCTTGATGTCATTTTTGGCGCAGGGTGACATTTAATGTTTGACACATTCTCCATCCATCGAAGGATCCAGAAATTGTTCCGTGCTCACCGATATCCGAAGCATTCATGGTGACTTACTTGTACCTCTCACTGTTGGCACTGAGGAGGGGTGTTGTTATATAAGTAGACCTAGTAGATACGCCGACAACGCTTCAGAAAAAATCAGGATATAGTGACAGACCATCAAGCACACGCGGATACTGTGGAGCAGCGCAACCGACGCAATGCACACAATGGTGGATTACTGGTATCATAATGAAAGCAACAGCAGTAGCGATAGGTGTTTCGCACGAGCAATCATGGTATCACCCAAAAAATTCACCTGCAACTTTCCCTCCGCCGGTCGTGTCCACTTCGGGCCCTGGGAGGCGGCGTGATGGGGCCGGGGAAGCGGCGGCGCCACCATCACCGTTGTCGGGGCTTTTCGCAGGCTAGAGACACAAGACAATCGTCGCAAGACAACACGGAGAAAAGCCAGGAGTAGAGGGAAGCGCGGGGGGGGTCGGTGGCTAGGCACTCGCCAGGCGGGAACACTGGGGGGGGGGGGTCTCGGGTGTCGTTGGCGGCAAGTCCGCTGCAAGTACCTGGTAACAGCAACCTGATCAAAGGGTTAGCACGGATCACCACAGAGGCTAAGGAACGCTAGAGGCAAGAAAGACGGCAGCGTACTGAGAGAAGGTGCAGCCTCTGCTGAAAAAACGGCCTTTGAATATTCCAGTTCTGTCAGGTGACGGCTTTACCTCCGCCATTTTTCTCCCTCGTGACGGCGGAGTCGAGATAAATCTATCTTACTCATGCGTGATATTGCGAGGTGACAAGTCGGCAAGCGCAAGCAACCGGCATCCAAACGCATACACGCCACCACCGTCTGTCCTGACCGACGCCCCCCCCCCTGCGCTCCCCGAACAGACAAGTCTTGACTCGACATCAGCGAGAGACAAATATTCACTGCTTCAAGCAATACGGTCTAAACGGCATCGTCGTCACGTCAGCACACGACCTGCACGACCCCCCAACATCCTCGCGAGACGCTTACATCGTGGTCCCGGTGTGTTTCGACTCCGTCTTCCGTGCGCTGCCGCTTGGCCCTGCCCTGCTCCTCCTCCACGTCCATCGTCGGCGCTGCGGCAACGGCGCACGAGCTTTGGCAGTCTGCTGCTGCGCCCGGCCTTGCTTCTTCGACGCCGATATCCTCCTTCGCGGGGGCGCCAAGCTTGCCGGCCGTCTCGCCCGTGTCTTGACTCGACATCGCGGCCGGCCGCTCCTTCTCATGGTCAGACGCAGCCGCCCCGTCCGTTTCCTCCGGCGGTGCTTTTGCGGCCATCTTCCTTAGCCTCGTCTGCGACTCGCTCTCTGCCTTCGCCACAATGCCCTTCGACGCCGACCTCGCCAGTGGCTCCGCCACACCATTGGCACTTGCTCCCTCGCGCTTCGCCGCGCCTCTCTTTCTCCCGGACAAGCGAGCTGGCACCGCTCCTACCTCAGAGCCACCGCCACCGCCACCGCCACCGCCGCCGCGGACCCGTTGCGGCCCGGGCCCCGAACTCGTACCGCCACCCCCCGCGGACCTGTTAGCGGAAGAAGAACGGGGAGAGACCGACCGCGACTTCGGCTTACGGGAACCCTGAAGCATACGCTTGTTGCCATCGATGGCGTTCTGGGATGCCCGGCGTCGTGTACGCCCCGCCGGGTGCGGCTCCTCCGCCGGAGATAGCACACACCCCGAAGCAGAGTCGCCGGGGAGGGTGATTCCGCCGGGGTTCCAAGCTAGTTTCGAGCGAGAGTTTCCGGGCCGACCACCGCTACCGCTGCCGCTGCTGCTGCTGCGGGCATCGCCGCCACTGCCGCCGCCGGTGTTACCGCCGCCGCAGCTGGTGCTGTCATCGGTGCCGTTGGTCCTGCCACCACCGCTGCCACTGTCAACGCCGCCGCTACCGAGGCTGCTGCTGTTCACGTCGCCGCTGCCGCTGCTGCTGCCAGCACTGCCGCCGCTGCTGGTGCTATCATCGGTACCGTTGGTCCTGCCACTACCGCTGCCACTGCTGCTATCGTCGCTGGCGACGATGCTGGTGCGGGCTCCGCCGCCACTGCTGCTGTCATTAGGGTCCCCGCTGCTGGTGCTATCATCGGTACCGCTGGTCCTGCCACTACCGTTGCCACTGCTGCTATCGTCGCTGGTGCGGGCTCCGTTACCACTGCTGCTGCTATTAGCGTCCCCGCTGCTGGTACTATCATCGGTACCGCCGGCAATGCCACCGTTCCCGTTACCACTGTCGCTGCTGCTGCCAGCGCCGCTACTGCTGGTAACGTCATCACAGCTGCCACTGCTTCTTCCGTCGCCGGTACCACCGAGACCGCCGCCGCCGCTCCTGCTGCCAGCACCGCTTCCGCCACCGGTCCGGCTTCCGTCACCGCCGCCGCTGCTGCTAACACCGCCGGCTGCAGTCGTCCCCCTCTCCGCACCACGTTCTGCGCTAGCACAGCCACCGTCGCCGGTCGCCTTGCCGGATGTTTGGTCTTGTTCGGTCGAGCTGCCATCGGCAGCGGGATCGCGCGGCTTCTTCTTCCTCCCGCCCTCTTGGCGGCCCTTGCCTCTTGCCCCACATCTCGGCAGTTGCTTCTCCCCGGCGCAGGACGTCCAAGGGAGTTTCAAGAGTCCCGGCTTAGCCTTGCTGTCATCACCGTCGCCGCCACCACCGCCGAGGCCGTCGCCGTCGCCAGGAGCACCCGCGGCCATTTCCCGTTGCTCGTCCAGCTTGCTGGGTGTTGCTTGGTCAAGCGACACCGGAGATGAATCGCGACGACGCTCAGACGAGCCAGGGGAAGACGGCGGGAACGGCGGCCTGTCCGTCTCGCTTCGGGAAGGCGTAGACCGGGACCTTGATCGTGCCCGTGCCGGCGTCGGTGTCTTTGACTGTACAGGTGTCCGTGACCGCGACTGTGACCTTGACAGTGGCGGTGTCCATGTCTTGGATTGTACCGGTGCCCGTGTCTTCGACTGGACCGGTGTCCGTGAGCGTGACCTTGACCGTGAGAGTGCCCGTTTCCGTGTCGGCGGCCGTGCCGGTGTCTCCGGTGTCCGCGAGCGCGATCGTGACGATGACTGCGAGCGCGATCGTGACCGTGCCGGTCTGCGTGCCCGTACCGGTGTCCGTGTCTGGGAGCGTGCCGGCGTCCGTGAGCGCGATGACCATGACCGTGACCGTGACCGTGACCGTGACCGTGACCGTGACCGTGAGGGCGATGACCGTGTCCGCGACCGTGAACATGACCATGATCGTGAACGTGCTCGCGTCCGTGAACATGCCCGCGCCGGTGACCGTGTCCGTGACCGCCGTCGTCGATTGCCGCGGCTCCGGGGGCTGCAGGAAGACCTTTTCGAGCTGCCCCGCGACCTCGACCCACGTCCGGGACGACGGCAGTCGCGAGACCGAGAGCGAGACGCCCGCCTGACCCGGTCTCGGCTCCTCCGGCGGCTCCGTGGCGACGACGACCGCGACCGCTGCCGACGGTCGGGCCTGATGGCGTCCGGCTTCTTTCGGGTGCGGGATGGGGACCGTGAGCGGCGGCCGTCGCGGTTGTTGCGCCCTCCCCGGCTGCCGCCGTCCCAATCGCGGCTACCGTCCTGCCACCCCTGTATGCGCGGCCAGTCGCGGTCACAGCCGGGCCCGTAGCGTAGCAAGTCCTTCTTCTGAGCGTTTCGCCGGCGATCCCTTCGGTCCTCATCCCGGAGGCTACCGGTGCTGCGAAGCCGTCGCCGGGGTGGGGAGCGTGTCGCGTAGCCGGCGCGTAGCCTACCGACATCACCGCCCCGGCTCTGGCTGCGTCTCTCGCCGCTGTCGGGCCGTCGCTGCCTCATCGAAGACGAAGACAAGGACGAGGTTCCATCCCTGCCGGCATGGCCGTTTCGGCGTTCACCCCGACCACCGCCACCACCACCATTGTTCCGCGCTCCACCTTGACGCCGTTCCTCCGCGTTCGCCCGAGAATCAGGCGGCCGCCTGGGGTTTTCGTCTGCGTGCCTCGCGCTCGGGCGCTGGCCCCTCCCCCGGTCCCGGCCTACATTGCCCTGCCGATCCCTGCTTTCGTCCCGGCGATACCCCCTGTGGCCGCTGTCGCCTTCCGAAGACGACCGCCGCCGTCGCGCACTACCCACGTCGTCGTATCTGGAGGAACGGTTGGCGCGGCCGAGGCCCGGACCATGGTGGCTGTCCTGCCGTGCACGGCCGGCGGCGTTATCGCCACCACGGCGTTCGTCGCCTCTCGAGCTCGACCTTGGATCGCCTCCTGCACGGGTTTGCCTCGCGCTGCCGTCGTGGTTGGGCGGGGCCGAAGAAGCCTCCTGCCGCGAACAAGCGTCCGGCTTCGAAGTAGCGGCCGCGCTCCCAGCGTCGCGCTGCTTTTCGCCTTTCGAGCTTGGCCGCGACGCCCTCTGCTCGCCTTCTGCCCGGGGTCGAGGGCTGCCTTTCGAGCCGCTGCCGCTCCTTACACTCGCGCGAGACTTGAGCATATCCGCGAAAAATCGCGGTCGTGGATTCCCGTCTCCGTTTCCTCCGACAACATCACCGACACAGCCGCTACCAGAACCCCGGCTACCCGGCGATGAAAACGACGACCCCCCCCCGCCATCAGCAGGGCCGAGAACCGGCGCCTCTCGACCCGTCTTCTTCGGGATCATGATGTTTGGGACCCATCCGCACCAACCACCGCCCGTGGGATCATCGCCCATTGAGCTGGTAGCACGTGCGCTGTCGTCGCCGCCGCCACCGCCGGACGACCCCCCACCGTGACGCCTCTCCTCATGCGGCTGAGGGAGCGGCTGCGATGGCTTGCCACCGGCATGCCCCTGGTCTTCTTCTTCAAGTCCGATACCGCCGCGGTGATTCGAACTCGATTCGCTGCGCTTGTCGACGCACTCGCTGCCACCACCGCCGCCTCGTCCTATACTGTCCCCGGCGTCATCAGCGCACTGGTTGGCACCACCACTTCTGCCATGGCTGGTCCCTGCCCCGTCAGGACAGACGCTCGCGCTGCCGCCGGCAACGGTGCCGACACCGCCGGCAGCCACCTCCGGCCTCCCGCCGCCGTCGGAGCTCTTTCGCTGTTCCAGAATGAGAATGCGAGGGGGGAGGGAAGACGGAGCAGCACCGTTCAGGCTGGCATAGTCGAGGTGCCTCTGCCTGTTCACCCCGACAAGAAATTCGCGGAATGCATGCAAGCTGCGAATCAAAGCCTTAGAACAAACATGTCATTTTCGGGTGGCACACAGGCGACAAGGTAAAAAACCACGGCACACCCCTCGCTCCTTCGATTCCTTTCTTACAAAAACTCCGTGAAACAAGCACAAAAAAAAAAATGTGTACATGGAAGAAAACACCCCATCCATTGACGTTGCTACCACTTTCACTTTGTCGTCCAATGATTCCACACTAACCTCGGGCCTCTTGTTTTCGCCGGTGCGCTTTCGCTCCCCCCGCACTGGGGGCGAAGGAGCATTCGAAAGGATAGAAGCGCCGCTACCGCCGTCGTCGCCAACTTGGGAGTCTCTGGCACCGCTACCGGGCATGCTGGCGCGGCCGCTGGTCCGGTGTCCGCCTTCCATTACGGGAGACGAAGAAGACACGGCGGTGGTTGCATCGTCGCTGCTGCTGCTGCTGCTGCTGCTGCTGACGATGCTGCTGCGGTCTCGCTGGCCGCCCTCACCCGCCACAGCACCGGCCCCGCTCGGTCCGCCCTCGTTCCGACTGCCGATACCAGGACAAGTGCTGTCTGACGCTCCGCCTTCGCCACACCGACCACCAACTCCGGTGGCGGACGGGGGAGTCCACGGTGGCCCCGACCTCGTGGGGTCTCCTCCCTCCCGCAGACCGCTCGTCGCAGCTGTCTCCAGCCCGCCGCCGCCGCCGCCGCTGGTGGGTCGGCCGTGAGTGCCCCCTCCCATGCTTCCTCCTGCACCTCGTACTCCGGCGTTGCTCCTGCGGCGTCTGATCGGCGTCAACGGAGGTGACTCTCCCCCCCCGATCGCCTCGTCAGAATCGTGCCCGCCCACGGTGCCCCTCCCTGTGCCGGTGCCCATGGTGCGCACGTTTGCGCGCACGCCGACCGCCTTCCCGAAGCCGTCGCCAACGTCGCCAACGTCATTGGCGTCCCCGCCAAGTCTCCCGGTACGGCCACCTGCGCCAAATCTGGCTCCATCACCACCGCCGTTAAAGCTTGCGCTATGGCCACTGGCACCAAAGCTGCCTCCACCTGCAACACCGCCATCATACCCGACGCGATCATCACCGCCTTCATCATTCCTGGCTCCATCGCCACGTTCGCCACACCAGCCCCCATCACCACCGCCGTCAAACCTGGCTCCACCACCACTCCCGCTCATCCCCGCTAGGGCAACAGAGCGATCGTGGCAACTCCCGACAGCGTCTGCCGGCGGCGGCTCCGGGCCGAGGAACCCGTGAGGCGGCGGGGACGTGCCCCCGTAGCTCCCCAGCGGGCCATGAGCCTGAGCGCTATCCGCGGTAAACCCGATGGAGCCCATCGTGCCGTAAAACGCCCGGTGGGGGGTGGGTGCCATGTCACCGGCGAAGGGTAGCTCAGGGAAGGCCGTCATCGCCATGGGTACGTCCAGGTAGACTCTATCGTCGTGGCCCAGAGGCAGGGTCGGATACTGCGGGTGCGGCGCCTCATCGGGGGGTGGTAGGCCCAAGAGGGACAGGCTGGGTGACATCTCGCGACGGGCGGGCGGCATGGCTTGGCTGAACGGGAACGGGGACGGCACTGCCATCTGCGGACTCACCAGCGGCGCGACCGCCGACACAGCAGCCCCCGCTGTGCTTACCCGAGGATCAAAGCTTGGTCCCGGCATCGCCGATGAGACTGCCGCAGGGAGCAGCGGAGACATCGGCGCCGGCAGCCTCGATGATGATGATGATGGTGCGCCCGTGTCCGAGGACTTGGGCGTCCTGACCAGGTGCGGCTTACAGGATGGTTCCGGCGGCACAGAGGTGACGTTCTTTGACGCGGCCGCCTCTGCTACCCGACGCCTAGGGTTATCCCCCTTTCGGCGCACCCTGGCCTCCGGCGAGGTGACCGACGATGCGGCCACCGGTGCTACCTCACGAGGCGTCTCCTCCCCCGACTGCGACGCCGCCGCCCCCGGCGTTGCCGAGAGACTCTTTGACACGAACACGCCGTCTACCCGACGCCTAGGATTATCCCCCTTTCGACGCACCCTGGCCCCTTGAGTCGGCGAGGCGGCCTTCGAGGCGGGCTCGGGCACTACCTCACGCGGCGTCTCCTCCTCCTCCGGTCGCGGTGCAGTGACCTTTGGCGGTGCCGAGACATCCATTGAACCGGGTGTCTCGGCTACCCGGTGCTCTTGGTCATCCGCCCGCTTTGGATCATCTTCATCTTCCTTCTGACACACCTTGGCCCGCGGCAATGCGCCCTCGAGCACTAGCTCACGCGGTGTCTCCTTCTCCTCCCTCGACCGTGGCGCCGCGACCTGCGGCAGTGCCGAGACATGCTTTGAAGGGGTTGCCTTGGCTACCCGGGTCTTTGGCTTATCCCCCTGCTTTGAACCATCCCCCTTTCGGCGCACCCTGGCCTTTGGCGAGAAGCCCTTCGATATGGCCGCCGGTGCTACCTGACGCGACGTCTCCTCCTCCTCTTCTAACGGTGGCGCCGAGACACCGCCGTTTGGCGGGGATGCCCCTACCACCTGGCAAGTAGCCTTTCCTGCCTTTCCAACCGCCGTGGTGACCTTCGGTGATGCCGCCTCTTCTACCTGACGCGGCGGCGCCGACGTGTCTCCCGACGCGGACGCCTGGCCACGCAAATTTCCACTCGCCGCCGTGTCCTCGATCGATGCGGCCGCCTCCGATGCCGGGCGCGTTGGCGCGGCATCCGGCGGCGCCGGCTTGTCTTCAGACGCGGACCCCCCTATCAACGGACGCTCGACCTTGTCCGTCTCTTCGCGCGCCCTCACCTCCTCCACTAAGGGGTCGTCTAACGTCGAACCCACACGAAGTTGCGCCGCCTCCTCCTCCTTCGCCGGTTGCGCCTTTTGTACCGGCTTCACCTTACGTGGCCTGCCCCGCCCTCGCTTCTTCACAACCGTGACTGTAGCGCCGTCGCCGCCGCCGCTGCCGCTGCCGCCTTCAGTGCCGGGTGCCACGACCGAGGATGTACCAGACGACGAGCTCGCTCGGACCGTCCCTTTTATGCGCTTGGCAATAGCGCCGTCGCCGCCGCCGCTGCCGCTGCCGCCATCAGTGCCGGGTGCCACGACCGAGGATCGAAAGGACGACGAGCTCGCTCGGACAGTCCTTTTTATACGCTTGGCGGCAGCACCTTCGCCGCCACCGCCGCCGCCGCTGCCGCTGCCACCATCAGCGACCACGGCCGACGACCGGACGGCAGACGCACCCGATCGGATTGGCTCCCTCCAATACCGAGGCTTCTCCGTGCCCGTCCGTCTGCCGGTCGTCTTCTCCGCCGCTCGGGCACCCGCCGACAGCCTTCGAGCGCCTGCTATCGCCACTCTGGTGCCCCCCGGCGCTGCCCGAGCAGCAGCAGCAGCCGCCGTCGGTATGGGCGCCACCTTCTGCGAAGCAGCGCTACCGACGTGCCCGTCGTAGTAGTGTTCGCTCGGCCGCATGAATAGGAACTTCTTCCACATGTCGGCGGGGAGTTTGTGCCTCGCGGCCGCCTCCGCCGCCGCCTTGTTCGACTCCGCGGTGGGCGGACGGCTAGGACCGCACACGCGACCACCCCCGCTGCTACCGGCGGAGCCGGGGTCGGAGGCCCACCGGCGGCGCAAGAGGATCCCCCGCTCAAGGGCGGTCTTGATCACCCACGCCGCGTGGCGCTCCCGCATGCTCTCCGGGGGAGCGTGCTCGATGGCGCTCGCGGACCTGTCGGTGTTCACGCCGAGCTCCGCCTGGGCCTCCTCGGCGCTGGCCTCCGCCATCCGCATCGCCACCTCGCAGTTGGCCGGGTGGGGCATGATGTTCCACGCCACGCTGAGGCAAGGAATCACGTTCATGAACTCGTGGAGGCAGCCCGAGGGGACTAGGTAGGCCTCTCCCTCGCGGATCGGGAAGGTTCGGTAGCGGACGCCGGCCCGGTGGAGTCGGTTGCGGAGGGTGGCGTCGTCATCGATGCGGTCGTTCACCTGGGGGGACGGGGGAGACAGAGAGAGATATGGCACGTTTTGTCGCGAGTCTTTCAATCGATGCTCTTTGCAGCAGTATGTGTTTCAGGTGTTTGGTATTTTTGTAGACAACTAATAGATTTCGCGGGCCGTCGCTGGATAAACATGTAGACATGGTCGGGTGCAATGTGCTTCTTTGCAGCATCCCATTCGGTTGACATTGTGGACGAAACAGACTTCGTTGGCGGTATCACGATAGACATTGTTGGCTACGACAAACTTTGCAGGCTCTCTCTCGCTATATATTGTGGACAACAACATATTTTGAGGCATTTTTTCCAAGTAGATATTGCTGGCAGCAACCGACTTCAAGGCATTCGTCCGATAGACATTGCTGACAGCAACGGATTGTGTAGGATCTCTCTCGGGCAAACTACGTGGAAACGTGAATTTTCCTGTTTCCTATTGCAATGGCCTTGGTGCTGTTGTGCTTACACCAATCAAATCGCCATTGATAGGCGGAGACAGTGAAAAAGGTAGCGTGTCTATATTGGCAAAACATTATTACTATTGATGGTGTGTTCGAACCCGTTTCCGTATTGGGGTGTACTGACTCACCACGTAGCTCGACCCTCCGGGCTTCGCGAAGGCCTTGAACTTAGCGACAGCCAGGGCGGTGGCACAGTCCTCCGACTCGAAGGCCGTAACACTCTTCTCTCCAGCCTTGAGGCCGCCGATCGCCGTGAAAGACCCCATCCCTTACAAAAAAAAGGCACGACGAGGGAGGGAGAGGTAGTGTTAGGGTTTGTAAGAATGCGACAATAGAACAATAGTCTATTTGGTGCCGAGGGATTGGGCTGAGTGGAAACGGTGAGCCAAAACAATAAAAAAAGTGGTGTTTACTCTATTTGCGTTAATCTTATTGTATTGGTGGGGAAGACAAACACCAACAAAAAGCGAGATGCCTGTTTTATAACGGTTGGTTATGGGAAGAAGGTGTGCGCGTCGGGGATGCTGTTAAAACGTACCGTACACACGCTCCTACTTTGACGCTACGCCTTAAGGACAACAAAGCGAGCGTTGTTGAGGGGTGGGGGTAATCCAAAACAGAGGGAGCCCATAAGTTCTCGACATCATAACTCGACTCGTCAACGATTTACGCACAGTGTGTTTTGGTATGTTCATGGTTAATTTGTTCGGCAAGATAACGTTCGAGTAAAACCCCCACAATTCCTCCGCATCCCCTGCATGCTCAAGCTCGACCAGTCATTCGTTGCGACCGCACACAAACGAGGAGAACACCCACCAACGCTCGAGGGGGCAACAACACGCGCTCTCCGTACCCCCACACATGCGCATCTCACCATCCATGTGGGTGGTGCTGCCGCCGATGCGATCCCGCCCCTTCCCCTGCATGTACTGCCTCTGGCTCTTCTTTCCCGCGAACACAGCACCGCCGCCGCTGCCGCTGTTGCCCGCCGCCCCCGCCGGGTCCGTCGACTCCGAAAACGGGAAGTTCCTACCGCCGCCGAAGGTGAAGGGCCCCGAACTTGCACCGCTCGCCATGGATGTGCTCCGCCAGACCGCCCCGCTCGGCCTCGGGGATGAGGCCTTTCATGAGCGGGTCCGTGGGTAGCCAGTTGAGGACCTGGGGGGGGGGGGGGGTAGTTAGAAGCGAGACACGAAAACGTGGCGGTGAAGTAAGTCGGTGTGGGTACTTTACGACAATAGTTAACCGCGCTAACTGGCCGACCGCTGATAATGCGTCCATCTTTAGCGTCAAGGGGGGGGGGGGATGAGTTCAATAGCATCTGTTGTAGGCACGAATATAGAATGGTAAGTAAAATCAATTGAATGTACAATATGCATGGGTCCGTGAGAAGGTACACTTTACAGTGTGGGTGGTCCCTGTTTAGTGCCGGTATGTGCCCAGAAAATTCAGCGGCACTACATATACCGGACCGGCCCTATTCAAAGCACTGATAACGACCTTGGAAATTCAAAGTGTGCCCGCCGAACACACTATACCGGCAATATACTGGGCAGTGGCACTATTCAACCGGCGCTAAACAGGGGGTCACCCCCACGGTAGTTGTTATCAAGCACGCTGTCTGTCCCGGCCGGAAGATGAAGATGCAAGCGGCTGGTGATGTTGATATTTTTTGTTGTCGCATCTACCGCCCTAACTGGGTGGCAGAGAACCAAACGCGTCAGTCTCTCAGTGGGATAAGAAAGTACAAGCTCAGCCGCATAGACTATATAACGCAAGGTCATTTGAATGTTTCACGAGAGAGAGAGACCGGCCGTGCAAACCGACTCGGCTAACCGATTACAATACAATTTCAAGATACGGTCAATGTCTGGGTATTTTTGAGCGTACCAGTGCGACAGATAGGATCCATTCTGCAACAGCTTCAACAAAGATAGGAAACAAAAAGCAGTTGGTGTAACGCAAAACAATTTTCATTTCGTAGCACCACCGTTTACAGTGTTTTTTTTTAATCGCTGTAAATCAGCGCTCCACCTCACAGCATTTCTGACTGGTGGGGGCTCCGTAAACCACGACAAACAACGACAACAACAACAACACAACAGCGAAGACAATTCTCACGTCCGCCTGGCCGGTAGTCGTGTCGAGGAAGAACGTCCCGGGGTTGTCTTTGGCCTTTGCGCTCTCCTTGCCGTCGCGGATGCGGTCGGCCAGCTTGGACCTGTAGTCGCCCATGGTGCTGCTGGCTTCTCCCGACGCGGCCTTTCCCGAGAGCTTGCAAGCCAGGCTCTTGCGCTCCTGCAGGAAGTCCATCAATGGCTGCGCAGAGGATAGGGTGTGTTCATGTTCATGTTCATGTAAGCGTATACCGCAGTCGTATGACTATGACTATCGACCTCGCATTACTACAATGCCCGGACGGAGCGATATTCCGGGCTTTCACCGGCCCGGGCTACGGTTCACAAGGATTAACCAGAAGCTGGTCATCATCCTTACGTTCGAGGAGGGGAGGGGTGGGGGGTGGGGGAGGGTACTCATATTCTGCACGCCTCAGCTGCTAGACCATTGACCATGCGTCCTCGAACGGGCGGAGCATTGGCGCATTGCAATGTTCCACCCTCTCGAGGATGCGCAACGGAGGAGGGGGTGATAAAATATTAGATTCCGCGGTGGAGGGAATGAAAAACGGTACCAGTAGTCCGTAGGAGGATGAGATAAACTAAACTTACACCTAACGCTTGTTCCGAACGTCTTGAGGCCAACATATGACGCCAAACACAAGAACCCATTTGGCCCAAGATAAAAATCAACGCTACAAAAAAAATGTGTTCGTGCGGAAGTGTCTGAGCAACCGCTCGCGGAAGGGCGAGAAGGTAAGCAAGCTCCTGCACGTGTTGCGTGCGACAAGCCGTTGCCTCTTACCGTGCATGGTCAACTGAACATGAAAAATTAACAATTACATGCAACTCCGGGTCGAAGGCGTTCTGGTCTTTGGGTGCAGCACAGCCGGCAGTCGGCCGTGTTATCTAACGTGGGGATGGCATCTACTAGTAGCATTTTGTGGGTGTCAAACTAGATATCGATGTTTGGCGTATCTGGGACGGATTGGTGGAATATGTCCATATTGTGAGCATCGAAACGCACAACGGTGGGTATTCCGGACACATGCGGCAGGTAAAAAAAAACGAGGGGCAACGGCTAAGGCCGGATTCAAGCGCGGTGATTGAGATTCGAAGTCCTCACAGCGACGGCGATTGTAAGGTGACGACCCCCAAAGAAAATTTTACCCACAGGGGTGTGCACAGGGTCTGTGGTAGCTAGACATACATCGCGGGCGGGACACGACGAGTGTACTACGCCACAGTGGGTGTACCTGTATCTGCGGGTCGAAGGCCCCCTCGACGATGGCGAAGATGCGGTGTTTCCAGCAGAGGTCAACCTGTCCACGACAACAACAACGAAATCAAGCATCAAGGGGACGAAACAAGACCGTACACACAAAAGAATACAAGTTCAACAGAGTAGACACAAACGCGCTAGGCTTCGACTCGAAAGCGTAGTTCCACTCCACCGCCAATGAGTTCAAATGCAAGCGGTAGATAAACAGACGCGATCGACACGCAACAATTTACAAGAAGTTGCCGAGACGGCCACTTGCTCAAGGCCTCGGCCGCTACTTAACAACTTGAGCCTAACATACTTAACAACTTGAGCCTAACAACAAGCAAGAACGTCAGCGGTACTCGCTTGAGACACGCACGTCAAAGCTTAAGTGGCCGCCAGCGGGTATTGTATGCCGATGCGTAACATGCCTCCAGCCTTCGCGTAAAAAACACAAGATTCTTCTGATCCTAAGTGCAAGTCGGTGCTGTGACGCATTTATTTTGGCTCAGCGCTTCACCTTCGCCACAACGCAGTCGGGGCCCATGAACGAGCAGTCCTCCCTGCTGAAACGAGCCAATCGGAAGCCGGTGTCCTTGATAGCGTCCACATCGAGGAATGGCAGAATGCCCGCCGGCGGGCAGCAAACTGGCGGCTAACGGAACATTGAAAAAACGGGGGGGGGCCGTTAGGGGAGGAACGAGTAAAGAGGGTCCACCGTCGCACAAAAGAGAGAGAGCGGAAGCGGGGACCCGACCACCAGTATTTCGGGAACACCACCCTCAGGTGTCATTGTTGATGGTATGGCACCCCATTTTTGTTGTACCAGACGTATCTGGAAAAACGGTATCCCACGGCAAACAAAAACACATGCTTTGTGACACGACAACCACATGCGAAATCTGTCCGCCGTTTGAATGCGATGCGAAGACACCCACCCGTAGCACAATGCGCCGGGTCGCAGTCAGAGACGCAAGAGCACACAGGGCAGGTAGCAACGACGCACGTCGACATGGTCAGTGCGGGTGACCTCTTGGCTTCGCCACACAACTCTTCTCTTCCAAGCCATTGTCTAAAACCGATATGGCTCCACATAACAACAATAACGCCGACGTTCTGTTCCAGATTAAATCCGCCTGTATTAAATCATAGAGCAATGTGGCGCAGATACAGAACAGACCAACACTACTGCTGTAAGTCCCGCTTACAATCTCGACTGCCGCCACTGAGAAGCCATGACGCCGGGCTGCCTTGCTCTCTGCCGCCGCCGCTGCCGCCGTCTCTCTGTGCAACGGCGCGTCCCGCTCTCGCCTAGCCTCCTGGTCGTTCCACGCCTCCACGACCTTCGTTCGACAGCAGCAGCGGGTGCATCCAGCAGTCAGGAAAATAGTTTACTGGTCGATAAGATGCCTCGACATACAGCAGTAGTCGAGCTCCTCCTTCACGTGTTGATATTGTTTCGACATGTGTCTGAGCATGTGAAGCAGTGGCAACCAGTGAAGAGCTGCTGCTGCTCAAGGCGCTATTGCAGGGGAATCTTGTGCATTCTACAGCGAAAGGAGCGGCAGCAACAAAAGCAGCAGCAGCAGCAGCAGCAGCAGCAGCAGCAGAACAACCACAACAACAGCGGCGGCAGGATAACACAAACACACGCACCTTCGCCGCGCGGTCCCTGAGGCCCTTCTCCCACAAGGAGAGGCAATGCCGACACCGCCACCCTCCCACCCACTCGCCGGACTCGGGGCAGCCGTACGCCCCGCAGCAGTGCACGGAGTTGTGCCACCACCGGCCGCACGTGCCGCAAGTCTTCCCGCTCGACTTGTTCGAGCCGCTCCGTTTCTTCTTGCACTTGAAGCACACGGTGCCGGCGGCGGCAGCGGCAGCGGAGGCGGGGGTGGGGTCGGCAGTGGCAGCGTTGCCGTTGCCGTTGCGCCCGCCTCCGCGGGCGGTTGATGCCCGCCGCTGCCGTGCCCGCTGCTGCCGAGCCGGGGGGTTCTCTTCTTCCCGCGGTGCAGCTCCCCTGTTCAGGGACCCGGAAGTCACCCCTGATAATGCTGTTTCTCCCATTGTTCTGTCCGCGGCGCCGCAGCTGCTAGCCTTTCTCCGTTTAGACTGGCCGGCTTTGCCTTTGCCCCCCCCGGCCTCTCCGCCCCCATCCTGCCCGGTCGCCGAGACGACCTCCAGCCTGCGCTTGCCTTTCGCCTTGCTCTTCGCGCCGCCGCCAGCGCCGCCGCCGCCGCCGCCGCCGCCTCCGCCGCCGCGGGAGCGGCGGCGGTGGTTACCGCTGCCGCTGCTTCCACCGTCGGCGTTCGGCAGTGACCCCCGGGCGGCAGGGGCGGCAGCGGGCAGGGCACTCTTCAAGTGTGTAACCGCCGCGTCCGCCAGTAAGCCTTGGTCAGGCAGGGCGAGAGTGCTGCTGTTACTGCTGCTGCTGCTGCTGCTGCTGCCGTGGGAGTCGGCGGGGCGGGAGTAGGAGGGCGGCGTGACGGTGGCCGCCGTGGCGTTTTCCATGAATGGTTTGATGCGCTTGCCGCCTTCGGCCCTAGCCGCCGTTAGCCGCAGCCAAGCGGGGTTGTCGCCGGGCACGAGGCCGCCGTCTGCGCGACGACGGCACTCATCACAGGGCCACCTCCCGTCCTGCCCGACCGGAAGCCCCTCCAGGCAGTGCGTGTGAGTGTGCATGCCGCAGCCGGGGCACCTGTTGAGACGGCCCACGAGCTTGGAGTTGGGCAGCCGGTCGTCGCGCAGGCAGATCGGGCACCACGGCATGTTTCCTTTCCGCTGCTTGACGGTCCCCTTGCCGGCGACAGAAAGGTGCACCTGAGGGCTAGGCCCACGCTCGCCGCCGGGGCAGTGAGGGCAGATCCAATCCGGGGGTGGGGATTGCCTCGCGCGGTTGGCGTAGCCCACGCAGCTGCGGTGGTAGAGCTTGCGGCAAGCCCTGCAGGCGAAACTGGGGTGCACATCTCGTGTGAAAACCTTGCCGCAGGCCTCGCAGCCGCGGCCCGCGGCCCGGCCGCTACCGCTGTCTGCCGCAGCAGGGCGCCCCTCTCCGACGCCTTCAACCTCCATCGGCTGCATCGTCATCGCTGCCGTCTCCGCTCGATTTGAAGGGTTGCTGCCGGGGGCCTGGCGTTGAGGCTGGCCGCCTTTGGGAAGAATGCTGTGCGCGCCGGCGGCTGTTGGGTCATGAGGCGGGGCCGAGGCCGTGGCACAAGCACACCTGGAACCCTGCCCCGCGGTGGTCTTGGCAACATGTTCCGCTCTCTCATGCCGCGAAGCCACGCCCCCCCCGTCTCCCTCCAAACCGCCTGCCGCTGCCCCCACAGTGCCCCCCTCTCCCTTCTGCGGTGGGCTCATAGCGGATGCGCCTTTGTGCGCTGGCCAGCAAGAACAAGAACGGGCACAGTGTTGGTTCAACCGAGCGCGTGGGTTGAGCGCGGTCTGTCTCTCGCCTCCAGCAGATCCAGCAGATGCGCGACTAAAAAATTTCGGCTCTGAATCCAGGCCCTCAAGAGCTTGGGTTCGCCAGCGTTGCGCCAAGACTCTTAAGGACCCGGCTAACCCCAAGTACCACGGTATCTTCCCCCTTGTTGATTATCTCCCAGAGAGCGGTGCTGTGTCCTCCTGAGCGATGAAGGCCGGTACGCCGGTAAACTGTCACGTGCTTGCACGTGCCTGTTGGAGAATGTGCCCCCCCCCTCCCCCTGCTTTTAGTATTCTGCGAACAATCCCGTATACGTCTCGCCTATGGGATAGTGTTTGCGTACCCCCCGCTAAATGGTTTGAAGTGATGTACTTACTTGGTTGTAGCGTTGGATGCAATTTGTGAGGTTGCCTGTACATGCCGCTGCCGATGGATGGGAGAGGGAGGCTGGCGAGATGGACAGCAGCAGCGAAGAATCTCCCCAAATACGGGAGTGTCGTCGGTCCAATGCGAAACAAGCGCGAGAGAGGCAATGGATTATGGGCGTAATGAGGTGTGTAATTGTTTGATGACAGAGAACAGAACCTGAACCGTCAAACGCATATCTTGGTTGACATGTTGACATCGGTTGCAGCCACGCAGCTCGTCGCTTGCTGTTGAATGCTGAAGCTCCGCCATATTTTGCGGGTGCCTAATCTCGTCTAGATGAGATAGACTAACCCACCACGGCAGGTTTCTGTCGGCAGTATGCGCTATATATGGTAGAACGCTGCATGGTAACCTCGCCGGTTGCGCCGCGCTTGAACGTGCAACATCAATCACCGCACCAACACACGGTCGGTGCTAACTGCTGTCCAGACGTATCTGTAGCCAGCTGTAGCGGCAATGGGTTCAAAGGAATCACGAAGAACAGATCACGTCATTTTTCTCCAGGTTTGTTGGTACATCTGCATAGGCGGGGAATGGTGGCTGCCCTCGCCCCCTCACGACAATATCTGTTTGGTACGAACACGGCGGCGGGATATAACGCCCTGGAGATAAGATATCACACACCGCCCGTGTTCTGAGTCCAAAGCTCTTTGATTACTCCACAGCACCACATCAGAAGGGAGAAGGGAGTGGCGGTGCCGAACATGGGGGCGCTGGAACCATCTCGTCTAGAGCTTTTTGAAAAGCGATCGTTTGATTTGTACGTCCTTCTGGGGAACCGAGCGTTGAAAAGCCACAAAGGGGTGTCATATCGTAGGTCACCCATGTACCCATCTGTGACGAATGCATGGCGGTACTGCTACCGCCGGTGTGCCACCTTCTATGTACCAGGAGCGACAAGAGAGCACATACCCCAGGGAAACCACTAACGGCGCCTAAATAAGCCATCACCGAGTCCATTGTCATGTGGGGGGTGTGGGATCTTATGCCATCCCATTGCTCGCTCCGAGAGTGTGGTTCGTTACGGTTTGGGCTCAAGTTGACCCGCGCCAAATATTAATATCATTGCCACCAGGTGTGGTCTTGCGTTGGGGTGTGTGCCACCTTGTGTCGTATGCAGTATAATAGTGCAACATTGGGGATTTTGCCAGTGGTTAAGTACTATCAGAAAAAAAGAAACTACGCCTGCAAGTACAAACAGCCGTGGTGCAAGAAATGTGGCCTGAAGTACTTTGTTCAGCAGTCGGACCATGCTACTGTACAGGTACTGACTACAGATATTCTGGTGCACAAGCAGTGCTGATTCCCACGTTCTTTGGGTGCTGGTGAAATAAGCGTATGAGTTGGTCCAGCGTCAACAGGGATGCGCCACACCCGCTGCATCGGCGACTTGCTTGCCGGGAATCTAAACCTTTTCCTTCGGTGTCCGGTGGGAAAGGGCTTCAGAGCACAGCACCCTGAAAATTCGACTCGTCGCACCGCGTAAGAGCTGGAGTGGCTTGGCTGAGTGCTTCGGGTATATACATAGTGTAGGCGCATGTCAAACGAAGGAAATTCCTGCCTTTAGCTAATCCTCTTATACTGACCAACCTCCACTTGAACCCATCCCGGGTACCACACCTTTGCGCCCCCCTACCGTGTCCACCTCGCCGGCAGGGAGTTTGAGAGGAGGACTCCTCGACGCCACAGACAAGACGGGAGGATTGATGCCGCAACACCCTCTTTCTCCCCGGCTGCTACCGCCACTGCCGGGCCATCTCCTACCCCTGCCGCCGATGCACCGGGAATGCGCGATCGCCCACGGACAAGCGTGTCGCCGAAGCTGTCTCCCGGAGGCTCTTCTCCGCTCTCCAGGACCCGATTGCGACGCCGCCGGCCGGGGGACGTCCACCACCCGCTTCACCCAGCTGCCGCGCCGCCGGGCGGTTGCTGGCGGCCGGATGACGAAGAACGGGAATCCGCTCATGTGTCCGGCGCGTCGCCGTTAGGGTCATCGCAGCAGGGCAGCAGCAGCACCGCTACCGCGACATCGGCCACGACTCGGAGCGGGGTGGGCAGGTGCTCGTCGTCGTCGTGCGGAGTGTACAGTCCCGTCGACGTCCGCACCGTGGGAGCGGGGGGGGGGGGGGGGCCCTGCCTCCCAGGTTCCGCTCTTGCGCCTCCTGACCTCTGCATCCGTACCCTTGGTGATGGTTTCCACTTTCCACCCGGTCTCTTCTTGCTCCTTGTCCTCCTCATGCTGCTTCTCGGACTCTCTTGTCGCTAGCAT